CTGTCAGCTCTTTCCTCTTAATATCAGAAGGAACAATAGCAGAGAGGACAGAGAAATGGACCCGCCGACGTTCTCTCAAACCGACGGGTCCAGGCCTTTTCCCTCATCCACATCCTCCCCTGCTACCGCATTCATCTGCCTCGACTCCCCCACAGCTACTGCATTCCCTCCTGTTCCCCTATTCCTTGAACTCTTCCACATCTCCGGAGGATTCATCTTTCCTTGAGCTACCTTAGCCGCTACCAAGGGACAGTCCTTCACATAGTGTCCTTGGCCACCACACTCCAAACACGCTCGTTCGGCCCTCCACTTTTCCCTCTGGTCGAAACTAGGCCTAGGGGTAAGAGGATCCCCTTGCTTCCAACCCTGTGATCCTGTCACTAAGTTACTCCGAACTGGGGGAGGAGGCAACACCGAGCCCACAGGATTCTTCGCGGGTGTCGTCGTTAACTTCGCCGTTGATTGCACGAAGTTAGGCGTTCTTCCCCAGCTTGTTTTCTGCCCATTAGCCTGTCTCTCCACCCAACGCTCAGTCATTCTATTGTCCAATCTGATCACCACTGCCTTCAGTTCTTCCATAGTCCCAACCTCCTCTCTCCGGGAAAGCTCGTCCTTCATAACTTCGTCCAATCCGTTAATAGCCTGAGCCACTAACATCTCCTCCTCAGTCCACCCCAATATAGCAATATACTTTTGGAATTCAGCGAAGTACGCTGATGCTTTCCCTTGCTTCTGCTTCAATTCCCTCAACCCCCGAATAGCCGTACCCCTCTCATCTGGGTCACCGAAGTTCTTCTTCATCCACACAGCAAACTCAGAACGTTTTGAGAGGAAAGGGGGAAGAGGAGTAGAAAGTAGATGAGGCTGCACCGCCAGCAGTGCAACCCCTCGTAAGAACCCTACCATCCACAACACACTCTGCTCCTCACTCTCAAACCTATCCTTCATCACACTCAACGCCAACGAACACTGAGTCAAGAACCCAGTGAGCTTCTCCCTTGACCCATCGAATTCGTCCGGATCTTTCGGTTTCGGCGCTCGAGTTGACGAAGTTGTCGCCGACCCTTCTCTAGTTCCCCGCTGTCCTCGACGAAGTTCTTGTACTATCTCTGTCAGAGCCTCACTCTTCTGGTTGTCAGCCGCCTTCAATTCTCTCAGCGCTCTCATCATTTCCACCAGCATCCCATCCCTAATATCTTCTTTAAATCTCTCCGGTGAGTTCCCTCCCCTAGGTCGCGATGTATACGAACTTCTTCCACCAGTCGACCCCCCATCTTCTTCCTCTAATCTTCTCCCTTGATCACCTCCCTCAACCCATGGATCGCCCAAGTATGCGTCAGAAGGTGGTTGGGAGAGAAAAGACGAATCCCTAGAACCGCGAGGTTCTAGGTTACCTTGATTATCCCCCTGTTCGTTCCTCGACATTGCTTCAGCCGTTCTTCTCTCTCGTTCTTTTCCTCTAGTCCACATATATCTTCCCACGAGTTACTGGAGAGTCGGTAAGGACGATCTCTGGTACTGTCACAGGGTTGCTTCTTCGTTAACTTCCTACGACCGACGGCCAATAACTTCGTGGGCTTCGACCTTTACCAACTTCGTTGTTCGAGATATGAAATAGGTGACAATAACTTCTGGGTGTAATAACTTCGTACTTTACTAACTTCTATCACTAAGACAACAACCAGAGATCGTCAAAGATCTCTGGGAACTTCGGCCCTTAAGTACTTCGTCCTTCCCTAACTTCGTCAACGCAGAACTTCGTTCAACCCGACGTCCCGAGCTTCGTACCTCACGAACTTCGTCCCCGACGAAGTTCGTGCCTTCCTAACTTCGTATCCTCCTAACTTCGTATCCTCCTAACTTCGTATCTCCCTAACTTCATATCTTCCTAACTTCGTATCCCCCTAAGTTCCTACATGACTAACTTCGTCCTCGACGAAGTTAGCCTCCTAATACCCTCGTGGGTGGTGAAGTTCATGCGAACTGGGTCGTTGATGGCGAACTGATGTCCAAAGGAACTTCGTTTGATGGGAAAGGATAATGTCACGCGGCGCCGCGTGACATTGTCACAGGGTTGCTTCTTCGTTAACTTCCTACGACCGACGGCCAATAACTTCGTGGGCTTCGACCTTTACCAACTTCGTTGTTCGAGATATGAAATAGGTGACAATAACTTCTGGGTGTAATAACTTTGTACTTTACTAACTTCTATCACTAAGACAACAACCAGAGATCGTCAAAGATCTCTGGGAACTTCGGCCCTTAAGTACTTCGTCCTTCCCTAACTTCGTCAACGCAGAACTTCGTTCAACCCGACGTCCCGAGCTTCGTACCTCACGAACTTCGTCCCCGACGAAGTTCGTGCCTTCCTAACTTCGTATCCTCCTAACTTCGTATCTCCCTAACTTCGTATCTTCCTAACTTCGTATCCCCCTAAGTTCCTACATGACTAACTTCGTCCTCGACGAAGTTAGCCTCCTAATACCCTCGTGGGTGGTGAAGTTCATGCGAACTGGGTCGTTGATGGCGAACTGATGTCCAAAGGAACTTCGTTTGATGGGAAAGGATAATGTCACGCGGCGCCGCGTGATAGCTATTCACATCACTGTCATTGCAACTATCTCCACCTCGGACGCTCCTGTCCCTCCCTTCATCATCTACCCAGGAATGAATCTAATGCAAGATTGGACCAAAGTCCGTGACCCTACTCCTAATCAACTTGCAACTGTCACCGATACCGGCTACATCAACACGTACACAATGCAGAGATGGCTGAAGGAGTGCTTTGATCCATCTACTCGGGATCGGGCAGAAGGGCCACCTCGACTCCTGATACTTGATGGTCATGAAACCCATACCAATATCGACTTTCTAGACGCTTGCTGGGAGAGAAACATTATCTGCCTCATTCTTCCTGCTCATCTATCTGGTGTCTTTCAGCCCCTTGATGTCAACTTCTTTAATGATCTCAAGCTCAAGTACTATGAGGAGATTAGTGATTATCAACTTGGATCGGAATCGAATGGTGTTGGAAAGCCCTTTTTCTATCGATGGCATCAGAGAGCCTGGAGCAAGACCGCTACAAGTCGACAGATCCGCTCTGCTTGGGCTGAGTCCCATCTGTACCCAATTGGCCGAGTCTATCATGCGCTACAAGAGAATCATCAGATTACCCCTCCCCCCCCTGAAAATCAAAATCCGCTCATTCCCACCACACCAACCACAATGACCAGCCTCTCGGAGTTGGATCAGATGATCCAGCGTGGTGAAATTACCCCCAGGAGTACTTTGAAGAAGACACGGAGTGGATTGGAGAAGGTGATGGCTGAGAAGATCCTGTTGGAAAGGGACATGTCATATCGTCAAGCAGCAGAGGAGTTAGACCGAGAGGCAAGGAGTAAAAAGCGCCAGAGGTATCCGCAGGGGCATCTCTTCAGTCTAGAATACAGGGACAGCCATGCAGATGAGCTGGAGGATCGTCGTGTGGTAGAAACTCAACGGAGAGAGGAACGAAAGCGCACAGGAGGAGGTCGAAGGGGAAAGGGGAAGGTATCCGATACCAACCATGGTCAGGAAGCGCAGACATCTGAGATTGTGCAGGATGAAGGTCCATCTGGTCAGGAATAATACAAGGAAGCATGTCAAATGATGCACATAGAATAAGAGTGCAATCCTATGGATTGAAAAAAAGATTGCTATCGAGATGTGTATGATGAATCATCCTCGTTCGAAGAATCCGTGCGTTCGAGGACCCCGTGGGAACGAGTACTGTACCAAGCGAGGTACTGTATTGTCATCATGTATATATATGATGCATCTATTTATGAGTCCTTCCAACATCCTAACATCCTGCTAATACATCTCAATAGCATCCAAGAAGCACACATAGTATCTTGCTCAACACCAGTATTTTCAGACCAGTCACCATATACAGTCAGGTGTAAAAAGTCATGCAAGACGATTTCATAGTAATTTGGCTGGGAAATCATGATACCTGACTTTGTAGACAGGTATCTTTCTCATTTCTCCAAATGGACTATATTTATTTTAATAGAGTATATACTCCCATCTAAGGAGAAAAGTGTCATGTATTTTAGAGCTCAATGCATGACTGAAATTTTCTCAGCATCACAGTTGAAAGATGATGCCCTTTTTACAAGCTTGGCTGGAGAGCCGCTTTTTAATACCAAAATGGACTGTTTTATAGACACTCTCATGATAATTTTTGATAGTACAACTCTTCAGCTAAAAACAGATTATGGTACAGGGTAGTTATACAAGCATTGTGATTGAATTTGAGCAGTGTAGGGCGGATATTGACTGAAAAATCACCAAGTCAATTTCATGCACGGATTCTCCCAGCCAAATTACTATGAAATCGTCTTGCATGACTTTTTACACCTGACTGTAGGTCGTAATTCTGTTATTTACAAATGATGACAAGTGAAATGACTTCAACACAAGATGAACGTTTCTCTACTTATCCAAATTTATCTCAATGTATAGGACCCATGATCAATCATACAAGCACTGTACTTGTTGCTGCTGAGATCATTCTACCTACAAGAAACAGCAATTATCATACATACCAGTCTGCAATTGCTTTCTATCCAACAACCAGCAATCCAGATCTTACAGTTCCGAGCTGGCCGTCAATCGAGTCGGTTTTGGCACTTGAACCTGATTCACGATCTGCAGTTCAACAAGCAATGGATAATCGATGGGAATCGATTGGCTCACCGTCAGGGGGAAGGGTATTAATTGGTCAACAGGAAGCAGTGGATTATGTCATTAATCAGCTGCAGATCACCATGAACAAGGCTATACATCATGGAAACAAGTAGGGAAAGAGGTGAAGATTTCTTATGCCAGAAGTCAGATTGGTGAGCATGAGCATACTAAGGCATGTTACAAGGATGGGAAGGGAGACGGTCATTGATACTTTTCCAGCAGCGGAACCTTTCAGGTCATCCCGGCTTATGCTCGAGCTGGACCAAGGGAACACAAATGAGGAGGACGAAGCTTGGACGTCCACAGCCCCTACGGCCCTGACAGAAACAGCCGGAACTACTGGATCGAAAAGCAGACGACGTAGGGAGAGAGTCAAAAGGTGAGAAGTATGAATGCTGTATCCAAGTGTTAGTGTTCTTTCAGAGGAGATTGGTGAGTAAAAGAACAAGATGAAGAGAATGATGAGGGAATCTGAAAGATTGTTGCATAAGATGCAGTGAGTATGCATCCTAAGCTGGTGTTGAAACTCATTAGGAATATAATGAGACCATTTGGTCTTGAGTCCTGCGTTTCTGTCACTGTCGGTCACTCATCAGTCCATTCAACTCTGTCAGAAATCAGATGTGACCATTTCCTCCATGTCCCGGACTGTTGTGAGGTCACGTCAACTGATGTTGTGCTTCTTCTGAATTATGTGCCCCCTCCCCTCCGGGCCGCGCGGGGGGACCACCTCTCACCCCATGCCACTGCAGGGGCTACGAAGGTGGGCCTTCTTCGGGTCCTTTGATAAAAATCACATTTAGCTGAGTTCAGCATGTTCATTGAAACTCAGACAAGCCTTCTCTTCCCTTCTACGTCTATAAGAAGACAGAACTACACCTGTCACCCAACCAACAACTATCAACATTACCTCAATACAACAAACACTGCACAGCCAAATGAGTCAATCCCAAATCTACCTTTCCGAATATGAGAACCTAGAGAACGCAATTGGTCCCTCCATCAACGGTACCAGTACTCTCTATGTTGATTTCACAATCCATTTCCCAAGGAATTCAAAGGAAACCTGTGGGTTTGAGATGAGTTGTGTTTTCTGTCCTTCTGCTGGACCGAATGAAGATCTCACCATTCCAAGTTGGAAAGCACTTGACACAGTGATACAAGGTGGATCTCAAATTACAAAACGATTACAAACATCAATGAATGAGAGGTGGAATTCACTTGGATCAAGAACTCAAATCAGTACACGTGTGAAGAAACCGGAGTACGTACCTTACTCCACTTATCAGATTCAAACCGCTCTTGTTGAAGCCGTGTCGAATTATGTACTTGAAGAGACCATGAAGAGAGGTGAGGATTTTCTCATGCCTCTTATTCAATTGTGTGATGTGGATACAATATACGCGTCAATTAACCAAGGGGGGGATGTAATTGATCCGATAATGGTTGAAGCACCAATCTTTTCAGATGCAGTGATAAGTTAGGATGAAGCTTGAGGTCAATGTTGATTTCGAATAGGGGACTGTCTCATGTGTTCAGGCCACGAAGATGAGGGAATCTGTCAGAGGGGGTTAGATCAGAGCTGAGGGGATTGACATGCAACAAGTTGACGCCGAGGAAGTGACAACGCACGGAAACGTGGGGTACTCACTCGTACTGATCAGCATCACGAACCCCTGCCTTCTTGATGATCCTATGACACATGTTAGGGACACGGCCGGAGACGTTCAGCTCCGGAGGTGCACAGTTCAAAACACCCCTTTCAGACCTGGCCAGAGATCCATGCCACTCCGGAGGTGTCCGGACCCACTCAGAGCAGTTTCGTGATCCACCCATACTTGAGGTCATTGAGGAACACAACATGATTCTTTGCATCCAAGTAAGCGGTCCCTCCTCCTCTCTTGGATAAACATTCCCTCAGAACCATTCCTAGTCACCTAGGAAAGACATATCTTGTCCTGCCTTGAGCACACATCTCAAGCTTCTCCCTTCTCTAGCGTTCAGAATTCTGGCTAGAGGTGTGGACAACAACCAGTCATACATTCTAGACAATGGATTTCAGCTCCATGTGAACTTTACACTCCCACCAATCTTTGAATTTGACGCTTTTGCACACACTGTGATTTATCTCTGGGGAGGAACATCAAAGGGGGCATTCAGCTCCGGAGTGGCATGTCTCCGGGTGTGTCCCTAACACACATACCATCATGTCACATCATTCATGCAATTCAACCTCTCCTTTGTTCCATCACGTCATCGGTCTATCTGTCCAGGTGATTGTCTGAATATGAATCCCCCTCTCCTCACGTCCTCCATTCATTGTGGTATGAAGTGACGTGATCGTTTCAAACATCTCCGTCCGTTCCCTCTGTCTATATCTACAATAGTCATCCTTGAGGATCTCTTAAACTACACACTTCTTTATACCAGGAATTACTTTGAAAATGAGCCAAACAACAGCTTCATCTGCTTTCCCATATGTGAATACATACACCGGTCCGTCAATCAACACCACAACCACTCTGGCTGTCAACTTTCAGTGGAACCTTCCTAAAGAAAGAGGTGTAAATCCACAATACAAAATGAGCTGCGTCTTCTGTCCAACAACTGCTATAACCGACAAAACATATCCTACTCATTCAGCAATTGATTTCATCCTAAGTGGTGGAATAAAAAGCCAGTTGATTTCCTCTGCAATCTCCAGATGGAATTCTTTTGGTGATCGACTTCAAGCAAGAGTACGACGGCAGAAACCAGAGTTTGTCAAATATGCAAGTTATCAGATGGACATATCTTTGGTCGAGACATTGTCAAACTATGTGTTGGAACAGACACAAGCACAAGGGCAGACTTTTCAGATGGTGGATATCAAGCTTCTCGATATTCATGATTTGATCAGTATTGGTAACCAAGGTGAAGGAGCCGTCCTGAGTGCGTTTGGACCTGATAACCCTCCTACTTTCTCTCAGGAGGTGACCGATATGGATGAAGGATTGATAAGGCATTAAGACAAACCCATGGTATGGTAGAATGATCCAGTCAGAAGAGGGAATGTTGACTTTGGAAGACTGTCTATACCAAGATGTGGGCTTGGAGGTTAGTACAGGGCATTCACCGTGAGTAGTGATGTGATATGCAGAGTTCGTATCGAAAATCACCATAGCATGTTGCCTCATCAATACCTGCTGTCCCCCTTTGGCCTCACAGTGAGGATGGGGTAAACTTCTGACGTGGTCGGGACATTCAAGGGACATGGTTCATACATGACACGGATCTATAGTAGGTAATCTATTCGCGATAAGCTAACTCTAGGACACGTTACTTGTGTTGGTCATCTCCCCTGCTATGGACACTTCAAACAATTTCTGTCTGTCTTTAAAATTGAGATCATCCCGTGAAACTAACCAGAGTAACTTGGCAAAAGCAGCTTCGTGCGTTAAGTCGTTCCCCGGTAAAACACCTTTTCATCAGCTACCTCTTCCTTTTCCTTTCCGGCCCGTGTCATCCCTCGAAATCTTCACAACACAACACAAGAATCAGTTGATGGACGTGTATAGCGAGGTACATACCAATATCAAGTAGAGTACGACCTTGTGTATACAATGGATATACATTTGGTACCGGACCTAATTTCTTTAGCTCGTTCCCTGAATCGGTAGAAAATGAAGAACAGACATTGTGAGATGACAACGACTAAAATTTCCATACTGACAGCATCTTCCAAAGCTTTCAAAACACCATTTGAGGGATCTAAAGGAAGATTTCCCGATCCGTAAGCAGAAAGAATGACAGCTTTACATGTTGGTAAAGCGTGAATTTGGGCGGAGAGAAGAGTACCGGTGATTCCTGGGTGAATGATACATGATAAGACGGCGGGACTAGTGAGGAGATGAACGAGAGGTGGTGGGGGTAGTGAAGAACGGGTGGTGAGGTCTGTTGAGTAGGCTACTTGTGAGCTTGGACGAAAGTCACTTATAGTAGCGTGCCGGTATATTCCAGGCTCAAAAGTGTTGGAGAAGCCACAGGAATGGGGGACAGTATGTACGGTGGAGATGACGGATGACGGTGGAGTTGACGGTGGAGATGACGGTGGAGATGACGGTGGAGTTGACGGTGGAGATGACGGTGAAGATGACAGTAGGCGTGACGAGAGGGTCGTAAGGAGAGATACCCACTGATCTTTACATTGAGATTGATCAACGTTGGTATACAAGGCGACTCGAACGCTGCGAAGAAATTAGGTGAGATTTTTGTAGCTCTGGCATTCAGCGTCTCGAGACCATCGATGAGTTTCTTGAACAATTCAATGAGAGAAAACTGAACTCGCCTACATCCTCTGAATACTTGATGGTGGAACACCACGCCCACTCCGGAATATGGCAGAACGCCAGCTACAAGTAAAGAATCTAATAAATTTGTCCAACCGTCTGAACGTGGTAGGGAAAGTGGTATTTGAGCTCCGGTGACTACCAAAGGTTTGCCAGCGTTGATGAAGAGGAAGGTAAGGATGGAGGATGTGTAAGCCTGAATTCAGCTCTTTCCTTCTTGCGTTTCCCCACTTTTCGATAGAACCCAGATTTCGACATATACGTTTCGACGTGGTGGAATGGATGGACATAAAGGAGAATAATCTGATAATATGGAGGAAGGAATTTACCAGAGTATCTGTACCGGAAAGAATGACGAACCCATCATACTTGTCCCAATTCTCGTAAACGAGAGAAGCTATGTTATTGTAATCTCACGTCAACTTGTCGATCCTTCTCTGATATAAAGCAGTGGTGATCACATAAGTAGATAAACTCATAAACCCGTGAAGAAATTCGAGGGAGTCAGGAGAAAGAAGAGGTAGAGGACACAACTCACCAGAAGGTGTCATTTCAGAACTATCAACATGTCTATCTAAATCTAATATCTCATATTCCACCCTAGAACCATATTCGTCCAATGGCGGGGTTCTCAATCGAGGATAAAGAGTATTACGTCCAACGATTGTTGTGAAAACTTGAGAAGAAAAATCTTGTGTTGAATCTGATAAGAGTGGATGTTGACGAATACGTCGAAAGAAAGTATCGTTTCGAAGCTGGAAAGTCAATTAAGAAAATGTCTTGATCAACTCATTCCCCCTTCTTGGAATAGTTTATGAATAGAGTAACAATACTGGTGAGTTCTTACCCAGTGTATCTTCATGAGAATGTATGATAGTTGTACAGATACACACGGGCGTCAATCCTTCAGGAGTAGGGTCAGAAGCTATAGTACCCCCTGTACCAATGATCAAAACCGTATGATTTTTCAATTCCATCTTGACACCTATCTTGCACTTATACTTTACTTGAAAGTTCTCCAAATGATATATCGATATAAGGTACCGTAGGAACGTTTGGAGGAAATGGTTGATTAACAATCTCGTTACTGATTTATTCTCGGAAGTGATCGAGTCGAATGTTAGTACTTAAGTAAGTAGTGGAGGTAAGTACGATTTCGAAGTGATAAGTTATCAGTGAAGATAACAAGATTGATTGATCATTTGATTGAATTGGTGGAATTGATGAAATTGATCTTTTTGATGGTTTTGAACCCGAAGGTAAGGCTTACTAGAAATCATGGTCGTATAAAGGAGGTAAGTAAACTTTATCCAGTAAGTATTATGTGCAAAGTTGTCATAGAGTGGGAATGAGAAAGATACTTACTGGGGAAGAGGAAGAGGAAGAGGAAGAGGAAGAGGAAGAGGAAGAGGAAGAGGAAGAGGAAGAGGAAGAGGAAGAGGAAGAGGAAGAGATTGACCCAGAAATGATGTGGAAAGAAGTATGATATCAACAAGGAGTGAATACCACACAACAAGGGAGATCAAAATAAAAGCGGAAGTGAAGAAATAACCTTAAGCGAGGAAAACCTGATGAACTAAAGACAGATCCTCAATCTACCGTTGCATGTGAAAATACAACCTTATACCCTGTATGAAAAGAATCAATTATGATACAACCCAACTTTCGTTACTCTACCCATGACGTACAACTACTTCACTCTCTGAGCGGTTCTAGGAAACTGCAAATTACCAATCCTATGGCTCCATCTTCACTCCTACCCACCTGAACGTCAGTCATGTCACCTCGAGTTTCGATGCCGAGATAGCTTTCCAAGGGGACAGGTTGTTGATGAGATGTTATAATACACCAGTCAAAACAGAAGAGCGACAAATTGGAATGGACAAAATTTGAACAAGCTGCACTGCTGAAGACCGACAGATACAAGTATAGAGTCAAGTTGACGTACGGATCGATCTGGGGTATGGGTGGGGTGGGTGGCCCGGGGGTTGGAGGAGTTGAGGGGGAACAGGAAGTGAGGTTCGAGAGTGAGAAAACACGGATAAGGTGAAAAAGACTCACCAAAACACCATCATTCTCCACACCCACTTCTCTATAAGGAAAAGCAGGAAGTTCATCAATCCTTCCAACTTCGAAAAACACGTCGATCAAATCACCCGTGGTCATGGGGAGGAAACGTAAACCTCGATAACGTGCTTTACCCAACATGGCCGGGTCACTGATTGTCAACCTTAGTCTTCGTATTGTTTGGTGAGTGTCATGGTCATCGAAGAAGGTCTTGTGAGTATTATTGGCAGTGATCGTGATCGTCGAGGAAGGTCTTGTGAGTATCATTGGCAGTGGTCTTGGTCATCAAGGATAGTCTTGTGGGGGAGGGGGAATGAAATGTAAAGGTGGAAGAGAGGTGAAGGGAAAGCGAGGAAGATGGGAGAGGGGGCGATAGACGAGTAAAAGCAAGAAAAGACTATGTAAGAGATAGATATAGAAGAAGGAAAGAGAAAGAATAGAATAGAAACAAGGAGCAAAACTCACAAATCAGCAACACAAGCACATTGATATATAACAGGTTCATCCTTCCATCCTTCTCCAGCATCATATTCTCTATATCCCGATTCTCTCCTCGTACCCCGATCACCTTCCGAAACATGTCTCTTATCAGAACCACGTCCATCCATCATGTATCTATTATCCCATCCTTGTATCTCTCCAACCCTGATATTTGACCCTTCACCATTCACGAAGAACTCGTCTGGATGATACGAGGTATTTGACTCTCTTCCAATAACGAACGAATTATCCGGATGAATTATATTTGGAATAGTTTTGAACGATGATTCAACTATGGATTGACTCCTCCTTCGTATTTCCAAAGATCTTCTCAATTCTCCTTTACTAGTACCTCTTTGCTGTACATGAGCAGGATCTATACCTCGTTGATGTACTTGTGCGGGATTTACACCTCTTTGATGAACTTGTGCGTGATTTACACCTGTTTGATGTACTTGCGCAGCGTCTATACCTCGTTGATGTACTTGCTCAGGATTTATACCTCTTTGCTGTCCAAGAACAGGATTCACGTCTGATCCTCTTCTCGAATGTACTCCAGTCAAAGTGATATCCTCTGATTCCCTTCTCTCCTGCATTCGAGTAAAACTGATATTCTCAGATTCTCTCCTCGATTGAACTTGCATAAAAGGTCGATTTTCAGAACTTTTTCTCGATTGATTCCCACCTGAAGTCCTTCTTGATTCCATCTGAGACGACCTCCTAGATCCTACTTCTTCAAACGGACCGGATAACCCAACTTGAGTGGAAATGGAAGATAATCTTCCCAAACGTAAATCTTCCAAATCACTTTCGTTCAATTCAGGTGAATCGAATATCCCAAACTGTGTAGTTTCGTTCGACCATCTTTTCCCTTTGATATCTGATGATATCCCAAGACCTAAACCTACTCTATTATTTCCCGACGCATCACCTTTCGACTCAGAGTATGGTGAAATCCCTTTTGCATTAGGATTTGAATAAGGATGAGTCGGTACATCTGGACTGGGTAGATATCCTTCAAGTTCGAGATTCGGAGTGTTATATCCTTCCAAACTTGCTAAAGCGGGTGTTGTATATGGTGATTCGTAACTTTGTAAAGTCGATATACCCGGGTTATCCAAAGAAGGGAAGCCAGTTCGGTAAGGTGTATCATTATGTGGGAAAGGACTTCGAGGTAAGTGAGGTTGATGTAATGGACCAGAAAGATTAGGACTGATAGCTAAGTTACCTAAACTCGCTAAACTACCCATACTTGACGCTGGGGAGATTCGTGGGAGTCCGAATGATAACCTTCCAGAACTGTCTGCGGAACGAGGTACGGCCAATCGTTTTGAAGGTTTGTTAGGACTTGTCGGACTGGTAGGTCTTGAAGATAGATCTGGATTTTGGGATTTGTTATCTTGTACGACTCGATTACTGTTTCTGTGTAAAAGACCAAAATGTCCTTCCCTACTTTCCTTTCCTTCCTTTCCTTCTTTCCCTTCTTTGAGTTCGATGATACCTTTCTCCTTGGAGTTTTTACCATCTTTAGATGATCTGAACGATTTCGATTCTTTTGGAGACATGACGGATGTTTCGGAATTGGAAGCCGACTCTTTCGGATGTAGAGATAATTTGCTGGTGATATGTGGGAATTTACTCGGTTTGAAACCTTCCGACGATAACCTGGAACTTGCGCTCTGGATGTTGGGTAATCCGGTGACTTTGATGGTATCGTAACCAGTGGACTTTTGATCCCCGATGAGAGAGATGGACCGCTTGCGTCCGGAATTTTCTCTTCTGAGTGGGCTGGAAGGACGGGGGATACGTAGATGCGCAGAGAAAGAAGGGGAATGACGGACGGAAGGAACGGTCGCGGAGGTGGGGAGGACGGGTGAGGTGGGAGAACGCGGATGGAATGGGCGTAGAGGGATTGTGGTGTCGTTGAAGGAAGCAGTACGAGCGGTGTGGCGGGCTATTGTGAGTTGGTTATCCTTTCGTGAACGAGAAAACGAGGAACTCGGCGGGATTTAGATGAATAGAAAAAGTTACGATCCACACCTGGTCATGTGACCAGTCTCAAGGAGGGTTTCAGAGTTCGTCTCCACACGGAGGGGAGGGAGGGAGATAGCCAGCAAGGAGAGGCAGAGAAGGGAACATAGGGGGCTATGAAGCGGGTGAGTTAAAGCGAAGAGGGCCAGGAAACATGGGGGTCGGAATGAGAAGGAGGGATTGTGAGAGGGATTGCAGAGGGATTGTAGGAGAGTGTAGGAGGTGGTCAGTAAGAGGAAGGAGATGATAGAACATAAGGGGAAACAAAAACAGGAAAGTTGCAGTGAAAATGACAAGGGAAGAGTGGAAGTCGGAAATCGAGGGTGAGCAAACTCACCAGGCCGTGTACAAGAAAAATGTTCCATAGCTTCCGCATAAGGTGCCCAACTTTGATGCCAAGCTTTAACTATACCTTTCCCCGTTGTCAAATCGAAATCTTGATTCCCCAAGTTCATCTAAACATTAGCGACCATCTCCACGCTCCTCCAGCAAAACGGGATTGGAAAAACGTCACATACATTATCAGTCTCGCGAGACGCCTGTTTGTCAGTTTTGGTATTGAAATGACGAATGAATACTGACATCTTGAGGTACGAGGGAAGACATGAGTGGTAAAGAAGATTTTCTCGGTGCGTCCGTGTCCTATTCGTGAGCTGAATACTTGACTTCGATAATTCCTCGTCAAGTTCTCGTTCGTATGTTCAGAGCTTGAGCGGTGGTATGGCTGATTCGGTCGGGTGTGAAGTAAGACCAGGGATATCAGAGTGGAAATAAATTGTAGAAGATCTACACGTCGGATGGAGAGTGACGCAAGGGATACCGGGTGAAAAGAGAGATTTTACTGGGAGACAAAGCCTCAATGAGGAAGGTAGACTTCACAGAAGCATCTTATTGCCTCACTTTGCGCAAGGAGACATTTGTCAAAACAAAAAAAGAGTCATATCTGCCGAAAAGCGGAAAGAAGAGAAAAAGTAAGTTGTAAAGTGTACGATGAGACAAAGGTGAATACGAAAAACATGATCCAAACTCACTTTCCAAGGAATAGCTCCAGAAATCTTCCTGGGAGGTCTAATCCAATCTCCAACAAAACTCCCCCATTTCTCATTCATCTCTCTAAAGAAAATCATTTGTAACCTCACGAATTCTCCCAGAGCCAAACCATACAATTTCTCTTGACCTTTGATAAACCCAGGTAATTCTTCTTTCAATTGTAAATGTAAACTAATTACCTCTCTAGCGAATTCTTTTAAACTTTTATCTTTTTCAGGAGATTTACCAGTTTTAGATATATCCAATTTTGATACCTTTGTTGATATTTCTGTTTTTTGGGTTTTGAACATTTCCGATTTGATATTCTTCTGATTATCTGATTTTGAATTTTTGGGAAGAATATCCAAGTTTGAATTTTTGATAGGAAGAATATCTAAGTTTGAATTATTGGAAATGAAATATTTTTCATAATTTCCCCAATTACTTTGCATCCTACCTATAACTTTCTTTGGGTTTTTAGTATTTTCTAAAACCCTCGCGAAGATAGGTAATACCACATCCCTTATTTGAACGTTGAAATTCATCCAAGAATCTTTTAACAAACTTTCAAGTATTGAAGAAAATGTCAAAAGTCGATTATCGTTTAAATCTGAATCATCTAAAACTATAACGTTTGACCAAGTTTGTGTTAAAGATATTTGAGCTAGAATAGTTTCTTTCAACATGTTAACAAATACTATTATTTCTTTTCCGGTTTTTCTTGTTTGTACATCGATCGAATCCAATTGAGAAATAAGAGATTGTAATTGTTGAATTTCGTATTTTGGTATTTCTATCAAAGAATCTAATGAGAGATTCTTTCGTACAATGCCTGAAATAGAATTGGAAGATGAAGTCATTGGGAGAGAAGATGTAGAATTTGATTGTGAAAGTTTATCTCTTCTGAATAATTTCAATTTTTTATCTTTTGAAGAATTGATTTTCAAAGGTGAAATAACGTTTGATACTAAATCTTTCCTTCTTTTAGCTTCATCAATCTCCAAAGCTAATATTCTCGAATGATCCGCAGATATTCTGATTGAGAAATAATCAGGATGTACAGGTGTTGTGGAAGATAATAGATCATCGAATAACATTGGATATTTGGTTATTCGTTGAACGGGTTTGATCAACATTGATTCCAGATTCCATGCGTGTGTATGAGGTTTGACACGAGACCAACAATCTTCCAACCAGAGTTTATGACCTTGATCAGAGGAAAGTTCTTGTAATTTTGCAGAAGCGGAAGATTGACGAGCGCAATAATGAATGTAGAGAGGACGCATTTGAGTGAGAAGGTTTGTGAATACTTCTCCCAGACGATCAGAACCAACTTCGCCTTCTCTTCCATCTCTCACATCTTTCCCCTCTCTGACATCTGCTTCTGCTCCATTACCAACATTTGGAGTATCCCCGATAGCATTCTCAAACTCCGCAGCGAGTTTCTCCGCAAGTTGAGCGATTTGTTCAAGGTTCAAAAATACAGCTCGAAGATCCGATGGTGACAAAGGTTTACCGATAGGAGGTTGCATACCATTTGTCAAAGATGTTGTGGAAGTACCAGAATTGGAAGACGACTGTCTGGGACTTTGTTGGGGGGTTGCATGGACACCAAGAGGACCATAAGGTGTTGAACCATTTGAAGTTTTTGGCACGTTTGGAGAAGTGACACCCACACCTAAATTACCATGATTTCCTGAATTACTTGAATGGCCATTCGGGGCTTTCGAAACATTTGTTTGTTGAAGGTTCAAGGATCCATTCGAACTACCGTTCTTCAAAATTGCCAAAGAACCAGCTGCCGAATTTTCATGTGTCGAAGAACGTTTAGTTTCAGCAGTTTGATACGTATAAATCGAACTTCTTCTAGAAATATCACTTATATAACCCGCAGGAGAAGTGTTAGACTCTCCATTCGTCCCTGCTGAATGTTGAGAAATAGGTCTGACGTTTTTACCTAAATTAGACTGACCATCCACCCCTGTCGAATGTTGAGAATTAGGTCTGACGTTTTTACCTAGATAGGCATCTCGAATGAGGGCGAGATCATTGGCATAAGATCTTTCTGTATTGGCTATTTCTCTTATGAGATGAGAACGTTTTGACATGTTTGGTGAACGTGGTAATAGAGGTGTGATAGATGGAGATGAGATATCTGCTGAAGGTAATAATTTCTTTGATCCAATTGTTGACGGTAATAAATCCGGTAATGGGATAGATAAGGTATTTGAGGTAGAAGGTAATAAATTCAAGTTTGTGTTGGTTGAAGGTGTTGAGATGGATGACGAATTTAAAGAAACAGTAGAAGAATGTGGTAGATTATCTAATAAACCTAATACTCTTATAGGTTTAGAAGTTATCACACCTTTTAGATGTGGTAAAGAAGGTGATTTGTCAGGTTTTGAATCATCTGGTGTTATAGGTGATTCTTTATGACCATGAACGGCTTGATCGGATGTGGATGAAATCGGAGTGAAAGTAGATGTGGATGCGTAAAGAGAAGTCGGGGTGTCGTCTTGTGGAATGGGGATGTGAGGTAGGGTTTTGGATGATGTATCCAAGTGGGGTCTTGGTGAAGGCTGAGGGTCAGTTGGGAATGTTTCTCCGGTGTAGTCAGCACGAAAAGAGAGAGGGATGACGTATGGCGGAGATGATGGGGATTGAGAGGTTTGTTGAAAGGAATGTCAAATGAGAGGTGGGGAGTGAGGAGTGAGAGTTGATACAGGTTTGAGGATATTGAACTCCGACTGAAAGTGAGGGAAGTGGAAGGGTGTAAAGATGAGTGAACCTCGAATCCTCGAATCAAATTGGGGAAATTTACATGGTACAGAAAGAGGAAATTCATATGAGGTGTAACGGACCAAGTATGGGATATGTGGAGATGAAACTCAGACAGGGAGTAAATATCATACAAGGGCGGTAAGACAAAGTCCCAAATACAGGAATATCAATACACGAACACCCTCTCAAGTCAGCCCAAAAAGGGCACAGGACCTGATCCGTGATCAACCTCAACTGAAACCCCACTACGCAGATCTGAAGGGAAAAAAGAGGGAGAAACAAAAACTGGCTTACCTGCCCCACCGTTTCCTCCGTTCCATCCATACTACCCGTTTCTTCCTGTTTATGTTTATCATCTTTTCTCTTTCCCCACCCATAAGCATCTAACCGATGTCTCCGCGTGGGTCTCCTCATGATTCCAGGGGAAGTAGGTACCATCATTCCACTTTCGTCTGAAATCCCCACTTCGTTCGGCGTATCTTCCGAATTCCCAGTTCGATTCTGTTGACTGAACCCTATATCCTGATTGTACGTATTGGAATTCTGAACGTAGGTAAAGTCATCACTGTCTCTTGGGATTTTAGAAAAAGGATGTGGATTTGAATGATGGAGATAATAAGAAAGATTTGGTATAGACGAAGCACTGGGTGGTTGAGAAGGATCAGAATTTGATCCAGAAATTGAACTTATCGGTGCTGAATCTTGTGAATAAACACTACCAGTAGTCATCATTGTGAATCGTATTTCTTCACCATCAGTTTCTTCAGATGTTTCACCTCTGGATCCTATTCTAGAACGAAAAGATCCTGCTGTGGTGGCTGACGATCCTACTGGACTCGGAAAAGGTATTGGAGATCTTGAAGATCTGGGCGATTTCGGTGTACGTGTTCGTTTTGATGATTCCGAAGGAGAAACGAGAATATCAACTGGGGAATTAGGACCTGTACCTCCTGTGGTAGACATGACGCTCGCTCGGGACATGGTGGAAAGACCTGATATTGATCGAGAAGGTGTTGAACGTATAGAAACGTTTGACATGGATCCAGAGGTTTGACGACTCAAGCTTCTTAAAGGACTTTTGGCGGGGACTGGAGGACTGGGTCTGACAGAAGCGATGGGGATACGGGGTGGAGGGGTGATTGTCAGACCTGGTGATTTCCGAGGTGATCGAGGAGTTTTACGTGGAGAGAAAGGAGAAGAAGGTTTGGGTATTCCAGAAGGAGAGTTGGAGGGGGATAATCGATGAAGAGGTGGTGTTTCTAAGTGACGAGATGGAGAGTGCGAAGGAGTGTGATCCTCAATTATAGATGAAAGGGAATTTTGACTGTAGTCTCTTGTTCTAGAAGGTCTAATGGGGATGGGTCGAGATTCACCTGAATCAACTTTCGAAGACAATTCGTGATCCTCTTCGATCGATTCGGATTCTACGTGTAAAGCGAGCGAACTTGATCGAGGTGATATAGTAGGGCTCGTACTCCTTGAACGAGAGGATGATCTCTGTGGTATATCTTCCGGTCTTAAGGTTGCTCCAGTACTAGATTCAAAATCTGATCTTGTTGGATGAGAATATATGGGATTCTGCAATCCTATATCCGCCGAAGGATCAGGTGAAGACAGTTCCACAATGGGACCGTCCAAATCGGCAGAATCAGGAGGGGTGAGATACGAAGTAGATCCACTCGAAGCTGCAGAATGCGGTTCGCTTATCTGTCCTGGTTCAGGTTGGATGTCAAAAGTCACTTCGGATCTTGAGGAAGGTTCACCGGCAGTAGACACGGTAGCAGAAGAAGAAGATCCAGAAAGGTGGTAAGATGTCCTTCTTGAACCCACAGCAATGGAACGTTGATCGGATTTGATGGAAGAGGTGGAAGTAGAAAGTGAATCAATGTTCCCACTGGGCCGTCTGGGTCGAGGAACGTTCGCAGTGGAAGAGTAATGAGGTTTGGGAGATGTCGTCTTGGTAATTCGTTTCTCAACTGAAGGGGAGGAATGATTTTCAGCGGGAGTGGAACGGGCCGATCGTCGAGGTGGAGTAGCTGATCCCGAAGGTCTAGGTTTGAGTGAAGGTCTTCTAGATCCGGATCCAGTAGAGGTGTTTGATGATAAACGTGGTATGGAAGGCCTCGTGGGTGTTGTGGAAAGACTGGATTGTCTTTTCTGTGGAGATAATGAAAAGTTGGTTGTGGATGTTGGAATCACGGAAGAAACCTTTTGCATCTCCCTTTGATCTTTTATAGTTGAAGGTGGTATGTCACCTTTTCGATTCCTTTTGCTTATTTCATCCGATTTGTCTTTTCTGTATTCTCTATCTTCACGAGGATGACTGCTAGAAGTGGTGGGAGTGGGAAGGTTTGACGATGTTGATATTGGAGATTCTCTTCTTGATCGACCAACTTTGACTGTTTCAGTCGGACCGGTTGAAGAATTGAGACGAGGGGATTCTTTAGATTTCGGAGAAGCTTGTAATCTTGGAGATCCCTTATGTTTCGGTGAGATCTTACTCGATGATCCAATCCTAGAACTAGATGGTCTTCTGTTATCCACACCTGTTCCCCAAGCTACTCCTCCTGAACCTGGGCTTGAAGTACTGTCTTGTTCCTTGGAGAATGAGGAACGGGCACGGGAAGAAGCAGTAGAGGCGTAGAAGGATAAAGTGGGTGAGGTAGACCTTGAAACGGTAGGGGGCGTACGTGTCGTCAAAGGCGTGGATACCATGTTGTCGGGAAAATCTTTCAGGTTTTTATTTTATCGAAGATGGTTTGATCGGCGATTTTGAGTGAGAGAAAAGACGGTGGTATCTCTTAAAAGGGCGTATGGATGTTTGTTGACGCCCCAGGGAAGAAGAGTGACATTATATGTTTACGCAGTCTACTGGGGGTGGGAGTGGTACTGAAGGTGTGATGTGAGGAAGGGGCGTGTAATGATGGAGATATGAAGGGTGTGGGTTGATCAAAAGGGCGTGGGGGGGTGTTACACTTTGTTCAAAAGGGGATAAGAGCGACCAGGTAGATATACTTGCGGTATGCGTCCACCGTCACTCTCTAGAGCTGTAGCGTGACGATGTGAGCTCTGTAAAGTGTATATAATAGGAGAAAGAGTGGTGAGTTTGAGGATATGAAAAGGAGGAACAACAAGGTTTCAAACGGCGGCGACGTGGGGGATATAGCTTACGTAATCAGCCTACCAGCTATAACCCACTATACCTCTACCCTCTACACTACTTTACAACACTTTAATACTATACTATTCTCTGTCTACTCTCGTACTAGCCATACCCCACTAGCTACTACTACTTACAATCCAGAACATCGACAACCATGGTAGACGAAGGTGGTTCAACACGAGCCCCTCCTATCCCAGTCAGATCGAGAAGGAACATTGTGAGTTTACTTTCCTCTTTGTGTCTATCATCCAGTTGTTAGTGGGCTATACCACACAGCAGCTCATTTCGAATCCCTTATCTCACATGAAGCATAGTACACAATTGTCTCCATAGAGATTGAACGAGACTAACAGACCTTGAAATGGTAGAATGGATGAACCGTGTAAAGGGATGAACATTGACGATACAGGTGGTAGAGGAAGACGCTACGAAACTTCAATTCGGAGGTGAGTCCACTGTGGACACTTTGATATCATCAGTTGACTTTTTAGATCTGGCAGATGGAGAAGCTTTGACTCTGACGGACGTAAATACTTTGTTGGAAGCTGCTAGGAAAGCACCAGACGTACCTCCTCCTCCTGATAACAAGTAGGTTTTTTTCTGTTCCTTCCTTCTTTTCCCTTCTTTTACCTTTCCCCTAATTTCCTTACCTTTCCTTCTTTTTCCTTTCCCCTGATTTTCTTACCTTTTCTTTTCTTACACTGACATATGTTTCATTTATGGTATTGAGAAGATAGAAAGATGCGAAAAGATAACTGACCGAGAAGGGTTTATAAATCTACTGTCGAATACGTATCGACTTTCTCCAATGCAACACCTGACGCTGTTGAATCAATGAGACAGTGAGTTTCTCTCTTTCGTTCTATCTCCCTCTTCTTCTTTCTTCAGTGTCCGATGTCTTTATATCTAATGTCTTTTTCTATTCTCACCAATCTTGCAAAGTAGATCAATCTTGTCCGAACAGAAAAGTCATGAAAACACCTTCTAAAGACCCGCTCGTTTTTTGATGAAAAGAGGGAGGCGTGGGGAGAGAGGGGAGGGGGGAGGATGTATCTCATTAACTTGACTCTCAGGGCTTTCGCTGCTCATCCTGGTTTTTTAAACAAATTCGAAATTGCTCAAATCATGTACCTTCGTCCAGAAAGGATAGAAGTTGCTATAGCTCTTATACCTAGGTAAGTTTTCTTTCCAATTCTTCCTCGTCGTGGTATCTTTCCTTCCTAATCATGACTTATCTTTTCTTTTTCATCGTGACTGATCTTTTCTTTTTCATCATGACTTATCTTTTCTTCCTCATGACTGACCTTTTCTTCCTCATTGTATATCATCTTCTCTACTTCTCTACGAACATCAAGCTTTTTCCTGTTCAAACATTCGTACCATACCTCATTCCAATACTCATCTTTCTATGTTTCTCTTCGGTATCATCTCCTTCCTTCTAAATAAGATCACAAGTCGTCCCAAACATATGGAATATACATTGATGATACAGCCTTGAACGTTATTCTCAAGGAGATGCTAAAGAAACGTTGTTACAACAATTATTAGATGATGTTCGGAATATTTCAAGATATGGTTCTATGGCATGAATCGATATTCTTCCAATACCACATCATTCTTCCGATTCAACTCATCTGATTTTCCTTCCTTGTTATCAGACGGGATCAGTCAACTTTCTCTTCATTTTCTGGAAGAATGTACAATTACTCGTACTCTTTAGATGATTATGTACTCGTATGATCGTTCATCTTCAAGATGAGGATCAGCTTTGTTCCTTCTTAATGAATAGTTTTTGCATCACTTTCTCATGCCCCAGCTCCACCCCAGCACTTTATCGCTCTCCTCCCCAGGACGAATACAGTGGTCGATTATATGAAAGGCGTACCTCTGACATCTAACATCTGAAGTCTAACCTCTAGCATCTAGCCTCTAACATCTGACATCTGACATCTAACATCCAACCTCTAGCATTTAACGTCTAACATCTAAATCACTAAGACATCCCTCCCGCTCTACCGATTATGGCAGTACACCACAGAATCGCTCATCCCTCTTTCCACACCATGACGGGTTCACCTACAAGTATTCGCGTAGTTACAACAAAAATCTTTACTCATACTCAATACCTTGGTAATCCTATCAAACCACCATCATCACACCATCTTCCCAATTCCTCCGTCACTTTAATCTGACAACCTAACCTACTTTCAAGTTTATAATCAATCGCGTATCCTAACATATCCATCTCTTCTTCTGTTTCCAATGGGATAGGAGGAAGACGAGGATTTGGGAAAATGTATAAATGACAAGTTGCACATTCTGATCGTTAGTCAATTTATACGTTTCATCGATCGACCACTGAATTTCACCGTAATGACAAGAATCCCAGTGATATAGAGAAAGAAGGTTCATCAATTGTGAAGAGACGAGGTTGTTCATGACGAATAAAAACAAAGGAACGAAACATTCTTGGATCATTCGGAAAATTAATTTGGTAGATTTGACAGAAACGTCTCTACCATGTGATCCTTATATTTTGAGTGTTGACAGTTGATAAAGAATGGAGAAACAGGAAACGGGGAAAAGGGGAAAAGGAATTCACGAACCTAAATTCCCACCACAAACACCTTCTAAAGACGGTAAATCATTTTCTTTCCCAATTTCCAATAACGTCTTACCTAAACTCGCTTCAACCTCTTTGATCTCACCTTGATAAGTTCTGAACTTTAATCTGACGAATCTCTTCTCTTTCTCCTGCTCCTTCTCGATTATCAACGCATTTTCAGTCATTTCCATCTCGGAGATTGTGGTTGAGGGATAAGATTGAGATGAAGAGGTTTTTTCTGATTGAGAGGTAAAATCGACAAGATGAGATTTTGAAGAAACGACCGATGATGATGATGATGACGATGAAGAAGAAGAAGAAGATGATGATGATGAAGATAAAGAATTCCATAATTCTAATTGTTGTTCTTCCGTCAGACCGTACCTTCCTCTCCAATGATCCCGTATTCCTGATTCGCTCATATCGGGAGATGATGGATTGAGTATATGTGATAGTAACGACCTCGAATGAGTATGTGACAGATTAGAATACATATCTAATGAAGGGATGATAATGGCGTTTGCTGCGTATCTGAAGTTTAGCGAATAAAAAAAACCAAAGATTTCAAGTGAATTTGAATTTGGAATCGGACTCGTATTCGTGTTCGAAGCGTAGCTTTAAAGGTTCTTTATTGGAAGTCACTGATAACTGAGATGTGTAAAGAACACGGATCAGGAGGGAGGACGATTAAAGTGAATGATTGTCATATCTCACTTTAGATATAATTTCTCCAATTCGTGAAGACATCGTGAGATCAGGATAAAATGATGAGATTTGTTCAAAGGTATGAAATCATATCACAATTGACTTATATTATCGAACATATAAGAAATAATCTAAGAAACCCATTATAACAAAACCCAGCAGAAAAGAAGATAGGAGTTGTGAAAAGAACGAACATGAAAAAATGAGATAAAAGAAGAAGTAAAAGGAGAAAAGAACTCACTTATGTCCACCCACATGACCCACTTCCTTCACTTTAACTTTATCTTCCATCCCTCTCTTCTTGATTTCCTCCCTTAGAGAATTGACGAGAGGTATACCTCTGTCGGAACATCTACAATCTCTTGAACCATGTGTACAAACTAGTATTTCGTATTTATCTTCTTCCTTCTTTCTTTTCTTGTCCATCTTCATGTCCCCTAAGTGTACCTTGACCTGATTATCCTTGATTTCACCTTTGGTATTGAGGATATCCGTCCTGACTTCACTTACGTTGGTCAAAGTCTTGTCCGCCTTTACTACTTCCTGGTCCATCCCAACATTCTTATTTGCGAGGTTTACTAAGTTTGTCTCAACATTATCCGTCTTGTTTACTTTCACCTTAGGTTGAGTCTTGGAATTCCCTAGTACTGTCGTTAAATACGGAGTATACTCAATGGCCCTCTTGAAATCTGTAGTGTTCAGGGTGTCAAGGGAGAAATGTGGAAAGGTGAATATTTGACCATCTGCGTAAAATAATCTCGCAAGGTATATCTCTTCTTTGGCTATGGTATGGGTGGTAGTAGCATCGTATGTGCTTGGAATGGTGTTGGAGGGTGTGAGTGAAGTATGACTGGGAGATGATGCCGAAGTATGACTGGGAGATGATGCCGGAGTATGACTAGAGGGAGAAGAGTCAGAGGAGTTAGAAGAAGAAGGAAGGGGGGAAGGAATTGGTGGAGAAGGAAGAGGTGAAGGAGGATCATAAATAGCATTCACTGAAATTTTAAGAGGTTGTAATACCTTCAAAGTCCTTGTTAATAAAGGTGAAAGTAGTGTCAAATGTGATGGCCAATCTACTGGAGGGAAAGGTATTGAAAAAATGAACAAAGCTTTTGTAGTTGGTATAAAACGTGGTAGAGGTAAATAATCAATTTGGTTCTTTATATCTGACTTTATCAAATTGCTAGTGGTAGGTCGAATAGGTGATTTGGTAGAGATGGACCTAGACCTATCACTTTGTTTCCGATAAGAAGCACTAGGGGAGGTGGAGAGAGAGTATATATAGTGGAAGGGAAGAGAAGGAGAGTGGGAGGTTGTATGTGTGATACCAGGTGTCCATATCCGGTTAAGGTGTAGGTGGGAAGAGATGGTGGTGATGGTGTCGTGGAAGGAACGATGTGTTGATTTTTGAAATGAGAATGGGAGTGGGAGAAGGATAGACATATGTCTGTGAGAAAGATAGAACGTCAAGCATTGTCGAGTATGTACAAGAGACATGGTATGAAATTAAAGATGTTCTTGTTGAAGATGGTTTAATTCAGGCACAACGGTGACATCTTGTTGGAAACTGATGATTCTCTTCTTACGGCTCTCCTTATGGCGTGCAGATGTGTGTCAGACTCAAGATTCGTTAGGCTACTGACAAGGAAGGCCCAAGTGGAGAGTCAAGAAGTATATCATACGATACATATAATCAAACAGGTTTCTGGGCGGACCATACTTACCATTACGATTACGACCCACTCAAATCGACCAATATCGTCACTATACCCAAAACGATCTCCACACCTCTATCCTGTCAGTTGATCTTTCTTCACGACGCAAGAATAGATGTCAACTCACATGAGGATGATGACAATTGCTTCTAATCTCTCACCATGAGAACTATTGACACTTTCTTTCAACAATCTCAACATATCTTGTAACACCTACTGATCAACCATAGTCTCCCACCCGAAATCTCAACGTTCATTGGGATAGGAAAGAAACTCACATCAACTCTCGCATTGAGTAGATCAATCCTCTGACTGATCTCCAAGTACGATCTCGCGGCGTTGTATAACGGTTCCAGATCTGGGAATGACCTGATCATCAGCTCTTTCATCGCATCACCAAGTGTTGAAGGGTGAGATGAGGGATGACCGACCAGAAGAATTCCTATAGCTTCAGCGAAGAATATGAATACAAAAGAAGATGACTAACAGGAGAATCCAAGATAGAGCCAACTAGATTAATGTTGATTCGTAAAATGAACAAATTACCAATTTGTTTCATTATTTCACTTCTTGGTAACTAAAGTCAACCTTATTTCCCTCATCGATAAAAAGGATATCGGAGTGAAGAAATGACCCACCCCGATCTTTCCCGTGTCCGATAAACTCTTTGGGATATCTTTAGTTTGTTCAATGGTGGAGCTTATCAACTCTTCAAATAAAGAGATTTTGACAGATTGTGAGAGAGCGTGTGATAGAGATAATTTAGTCCTATTTCGTCAATTAAACCTTTCTCTTGGAATGACGAATAGACTCTCACATGTAAGAAGACCCTTTACGAAGTGTGATTACATCATTATAAATTCTTAGAGTCAGATTTACACTTGGGTTTATAGCGTTCAACTGACCTGGAATAGTCGGCATAATAAAAATTGAGATCTTCCATTTCCACATCTTCCGAGGAAAGTCGTTCGATCTCGAAACGTTTTCTGGTCCATCAGCACAAGGACATACGAATGATGACTGAATCCTCTCATTAAGAGTACACGTCACGACTCCATGACCGATGGGGGTGGGATTAGATCGATGAGGACGTTGATAGAAAGATTGAGAAGATCATTCATGAAGATTTCAAGTCATGACAACTGGGAGATGAGGAAGAAAATCGGTAAAACCCACAAACTACTCAAAAACTTTTTCTCCTCTTTCTCCGTCATTCCCCAAATCACAACAGTCCCATATTCAAACATGAAAACATCCGGAACCCATTCTTCTTCTTCAAAATCATCATCTTGATCACTATCCAAACCTTCTTCCTCAGTAGCAGATTTCCTCCTACCTCCCCCTCCAGGTCTTTTAGAAAAACCCGTATGTCTTTTATTTTCTAAAGGTTTATCTTTCTTCTTTTGTTCTATACCGTTGTTTAGGTTACTTCCTAAATTCAGAAGATCGCCTTCAGGAATGACAGTAGTGGTTGATGGTTTAAGAGCTGGGGATCGATGTAAATTTGAAGATGTTGGAGGTGGAAGATAAGGTGTATGAAGACATTCAGTATCGAACATTCTTGGATGGGTACGATATGAACTAGGTCTAGCTTGTAGGTATGTTTGAATAGCTGGAAGGTTGTAAGAACTGGTCGTTAGTTAAACCAACTTCGTTTTCATAGTTTGCACACACATGAGTTACTCTTTCAATTACGAGCATTATTACTGGATTGGAGACATGTCATTGATTCCAATACATTTGAAGTCGTACAACCCATATGTCTGACAAACAGTGAATGCGAGGATGAAGAGAAGGTCAATGTTGTGATAATTAAGTGATTCAAGATAAACGAGAGAAAAGATGGACCACTCACGCAGCAGTACAATAAGCAGTCACTCTTGGTAATTTCCCTTTTTCAGTTTTAGTTAATCTTTGAGCATCACGTCTTGCTGTTCCAGCTGGTATTTGAGATAAAGGTGTATAAAACTAATCTCATAAGTATCAAATCTTCCAATCCTCCTCATTTGTATGTAGAAAAAAGACCTCACCTCTACACCTTCTCCTTCTTCCTCTCGATCTGGTACATCTACTCGATCTTCGTCTTCTTCTTCTTCTGGGATGGTCCCTTCTGGTTGGGTGGGAAGTACTTTGAGCTCTAGTCAATTAGCTCCGATCCACGAGGAAGTTCATATAATTAAGGTTGAAGAGATCCTGGGAGGAAAGTGAAGGAACAGGGAGAAGAAGACCCAATGAGACGAGGGAATAATAAGAGGACTGACTAGTCCCGAGCTTGGACGTTCTGACCATCAGCAAAAAATCAACTTTAGCAGAGAAAACACACTGGTAAGTCACGAAGAGTGAGATGAATGGATTGAAGAGTTACAGGAGTACTCAAGGAGATAGATGATGAGGGTGGATATCTGGTGCAGCGGAGGAAGCACAGAGTAAGACTCACCTCATAGGTTGTCGGTTCTCCCGTTTTGGCTGTGCAACTTGAGAATAAGGAAGAGGTAGGGTGTTGCTTCCCACGGGAGGCATGATGACGAGGTGCAATGACAGATAGAGCTGATAGCTGGGAAGAGTAAAGGGTTTATGTATATCAATGTTCCCACTCGAAGTGAGGAGTAAGGAATGAGATGCAGATGCAGATGCAGTAACTTGGTCAAAAACCCAACCACCCCTTACCGGTCACCGGTTCTTCCGTTAAGTACCCTGCACTACCAACCCCCAGTCAGATTTGATAGCGCTGTACATCGGGCACTGTAGATCATCCGTACATATAATCATCTCATCTCACATCATGGGAATGCATTCAGTACTTCTGAGTGACCGACAAATTGCATCAAAAGTTTGGTAAAATGGGAGAAGGGTGTGCCATATAAAAGAAGATGTAACGTCTCCATGTTTCGATCATGGGACTTTCAGGTCACCGGCAATATGAGCCTGACACGCTTCCTCTGCGTTAAGACGTTTAATATACGGGAGAACTTTGTTGCTGTGGTAGATCTTGCTTTGGAACAGCCGATCAATTTCGGCTGGCCCTTGATCAGTATTCTTCTCTTCTCCGTACATTGTACTCTGTGTTCGCTTCTTTCTCCGCCCATCAGTTTCTTGTCTCTCCTCCTTGCCTCCAACATGTCAAGACATTTGAGGTATCAACTGAAATAGACCAGATGTACCACAGGTCTCCCTATCCTCCAAACTTATGACTTGATCCGTAGCAGCTGTCACTTTGTGAGAGACAATACGTAAGCTCATTAGATTGCATTGTGAAGCAGATAACTCAGCAAGATAGGTTTTTACATAGATATATGGATGAATAGCTAGCTAGAATGATAGAATGCATTTCCTTTCTCTTCAAATGACTTTCTACTTCTGTCACAAATAAACGACTGATGATGATGAAGCCGCAATGGCGTGTCTCAAACAGTCTCAAACGCAACAGTAAGTTAGAGTAGAGAGCTGGAATGTCATACATCACCTATCTGCCACTTGTCAAAGTGCTATTGCGCAATCAGACACTTGAAACACATACCCCTGATTACCTCCACCTCCACCTCTACATGCTGGAACCTTCCACCATTGCCTCCACCTTTACCTCCACTTGCTTATCAAGCCTCCTGTCACGGGCGGGGTCTAATCCCCAAGAGATAGGCAAGGTGACTGAGATGGGGCTGTAACCCAATACTTGTCTCTGGCTCGTAGAGCTTGAGGAGTATACAGAGGGTGACAAGGGACTGAGGGAACTGAGGGAACTGAGGGAACTGAGGGAACTGAGAGAACTGCAAGATGTCAGGCTGGATCTGACTGGACTGACAAGTTGAGAATGAAATTCAACATGAGATTCATAGGTGGGGAACAACCTGTTTGGAGGGGGTTTATATCCACAGCAAAACAGGCTGAACTGCAAAACTACAACAATAAGCTACGGAAGAACTGCTAAACATATTTGCAATTCTCTTCAAGAGAATTGGCAATCCTGACATGTGAAACTAAAAACAATAGGCAAAGGACCCAGGGGTCCAGGGGTAACTGTTACAGGTTCATGGGTGCGACAAGGAACAATAGTGTAATGCATACGCCTAAAGGGTGACGCGCACTAAGCTCTTGTGCTAAAAGATCCAATGCTCAGCTCATAGTATGAGCTGAGACCCTTTATAAACTGCTTGTGCTGCGACCGAGATTCGAGATTTATGACAGGAGCCCCCCCTCAAGGGCTGATGTCCCAGCAGCCAGCAATTTCTGAACCGAAACTCCTCCTACGGATTTTCCCATGACAAATTAGATCCCAGAATGTGGCACTGCCACAAGCCTCCGTGTGCCACAAAGAAGTGGGTTCGAGAATGTGCACACACAGGGAGTTGAACCCTGGTCATGGTGGAGCTGAGCATTCTGTAATGCATACGCCTAAAGGGTGACGTGCACTAAGCTCTTTTGCTAAAGATCCAATGCTCAGCTCATAGTATGAGCTGAGACCCTTTATAAACTGCTTGTGCTGCGACCGAGATTCGAGATTTATGACAAATAGACAGAGGACACAGGAGTCCAGGGGTAAGTGTGTCAAGCATGTGAACACAAAGGGGAACAATAGATGAAGGGCACAGGGGTTCAGGGGTAGGTGTTTCATGTGTGGGAGTGTAAGAGATGACAATAGGGATTGTTGATGGAGATCAAGAACAATAAACCTAAGCCAAAGGGGGTCAGGGGAAGTGTTCCAGATGTGTTTCAAGTGTGGGAACACGGGAAAAGACTATCTTAGGTGGCAAGTAGGTGATGTATGACACCTCCACACTCTGGAACATTCTGTGCCTGCCTCCACCTTCCCAAAGTATTAACTCTGGTTGATTGCTGAGCAATCATCCATAGTCTGGAACATTCTGTGCCTGCCTCCACTTTCCCAAAGTAGTAATTCAGTCTGCTCACTGAGCAATCTTTCCCACGTTTGCGCTTTCTAGTTTCTTCCGTAGACATGTTGAGCAACCCGCTTGATGGGGATAAATACCCCCTCCAAACAGGTTGTTCCCCACCTATGGATCTTGTGTCAATCCAGTCAGTCCCAGCCTGACATCTTGCAGTCCCCTCAGTCCCCTCAGTCCCTTGTCACCCTCTGTATACTCCTCAGCTCTATGAGCCCGAGACAAGTATTGGGTTACAGCCCCATTCCAGTCACCTTGCCTACCCTCTGGGGATTAGACCCCGTTCGTGACATATAATCAGAGATGACAATTGATCAGAGAGACAGAGAAAGAAACAGAGAGCTAGAACCACTATTTGTAGACAAAAACCTCAAAACTGAGCCTAAATGTCACAATCGTCGTTTCTTCTTCTCTACTGACCGACGGTCGACAAACCTCGGCTAACTACGTCGTAGTGGGGCGTCGATGTCTCACTAAGACAGGGTACTCGTCGAGGAACTACGGCTAACTTCGCCGTAGTAACACGTCGAGTGGTGAATGATAAGATGATCGTCGATGAACTGCGGCTAACTTCGCCGTAGTACGTTGAACTGCTCGGTGGTAGCTCTCCTTAACTCGAAGGTTGTAGCTAATGAATATATCTCTCGCTACTGACAACAATCAAGGATCGCTGAAGAAGTTCAGCGATCTGTAAACTATCTATACTACTCCTCTCTTCTCGTAGAATGTCCCTCAACTCCTGCACTGCCTCACGCTCAGTCCTCTTCGTTCAACTTCGCCGTACCTCGCCATATCCCCGATATCCTACTCCGCTCACTTTGACTAACTTCGCCTAACTTCCCCTGTTCTGCTCTCCCTCGGTTCCCTTCCCCTAACTTCGCCGTAGTTCCCCGCTAGGCGGGGTTATCGTGACAAATCCCCTCTTGGTTCTCGTAACTTAGCCGTAGTTGGTCTCAGTGGTTCGAGTGGAGGTTGGTAGTGGTGAAAGGAAGGTCGGTGATGGTGAAAGGAGGGTCGGTGATGGTGGTTGTCAGGGATGTTACGACGTAGTTCGTGACACTAAAACTCCTTCCTCTCCTCTCTGTCACGCAGTGCCGTGTGACATTATTGTAACGGTACTGGAAACACAATGACTAGGTCGCAGGTTGGGTCGAACTGGATGGAAGTCTCGTGGAAATCTATGGGTCTCTGGTGCTATGTGATGGATCGTGTCTCCTCTGCAATTGATGTAGCCAAAGAATGATATTGAAGAATCAGCAAAGTTGGTACTTTGCTGATTGTACTATATAATGTCTACAGGTATCCGTGTCCTCCTCTTTTCCTACTGCATGCGTCTATGTACATACTCGGACAGGTGAAAAACCGCTTTTGAGCAAACCCAGTGGGGAAATCTCGAAAAGGGAAAACCCGTCCCTACCTACTGCAGCACTGCCTCCAACTCCCGCTGTTCTCTATCCTAATCCGTCGAACTCGATAGAGTCCTCTCGATTCGTTGTTACCCCGTAACAATTATCCTTTCCCATCAAACGAAGTTCCTTTGGATATCAGCTGGCCATCAACGATCCAGTTCTTATGAACTTCACCACCCACAAGGGTATTAGGAGGCTAACTTCGTCCTTGACGAAGTTAGTCATGTAGGAAGTTAGGAGGATACAAAGTTAGGGAGACACCAAGTTAGGGAGATACTGTCATGGTCGTCGCTTCTTCTTCTCTACTGACCGACGGTCAACAAACCTCAGCTGACTACGTTGTAGTGGGGCGTCAATGTCTCACTAGGACAGGGTACTCGTTGGGGGGACTATGGCTAACTTCCCTGTAGTAATACGTTGAGTGGTAAATGATAAGATGATTGTCGATGAACTGCGGCTAACTTCGCCGTGGTGCGTCAAACTGCTTTGTGGTAGCTCTCCCTAACTCGATGGTTTTAGCTACTGAATATATCTCTCGCTACTGACAACAATCAAGGATTGCTGAAGAAGTTCAGCGATCTGTAAACTATCTATACTTCCCTTCTCTTCTCATAGAACGTCCCTCAACTCCTGCACAGCCTTGCACTCAGTCCTCCTTGCTCAACTTTGCCGTTCCTCGCCATATCCCCGATACCCTGCTCCGCTGACTTTGACTAACTTTGTCTAACTTCCCCAGCTCTGCTCTCCCTCCGTTCCCTTCTCCTAACTTCGCCGTAGTTCTCCGCTAGGCGGAGTTATCGTGACAAATACCCTCTAGGTTCTTGTAACTTCGCCGTAGTCGGTCTGAGTGGTTTGGGTGGTGGTTGGTGATGGATAGTGGTTTGGTGATGGTGAAAGGAGGGTCGGTGATGGTAGTTGTCAGGGATGTTACAACGTGGTTCGTGACAGATACGAAGTTAGGGGGTACAAACTTTGTCGGGGATGAAGTTCACGAGGTACAAAGCTCGGGGCTTTGGGTTGAACGAAGTTCTGCGTTGGCAAAGTTAGGGAAGGACGAAGTACTTAAGGGCCAAAGTTCCCAGGGATCGTTGACGATCTCTGGTTGCTGTCTTAGTGATAGAAGTTAGTAGAGCACAAAGTTATTACACCCAGAAGTTATTGTCACCACTCCATACTATGAAGAACAAGCCTGTTAAGGGTCATAGCCCATGAAGTTATTGGCCGTTGGTCCTGAGAAGTTGACGAAGAACCAACCCTGTGACAGCTTCATTGTTGTTGGCTTTAGATATGTGATAGTGTATTGCATGTCGTACACCATGCAGGAGATGTGAGTCAATAAGCGTGTTAAGACCTGGACTACCAGATTGTAACATTTCGTCAGATATTCTGTAGAGCAGAATTGCATTCCTAACTACGTGATAGTGGTATCCTCCTTCTTGTGTCTGCCCCAAGATCATTAGGCAGCCTGGCTGGTAGGGTCACCCCTGGGAACTATTTACATTTTTAACATAGTGCTTTTGGCCAAATCTGCAGCTGGCAATGGCCAAACAACCATTGCCTGAAGCGATGGCAATGAAAATCGGTGTACGGCAACTAGTCTGTCAGTTGTTGTAAGCATACATGTCTGAAGCCTCAAGGTCAGCTTTGTTCATAGAAGGAAAGATTTCAAATTGTTGACTTTGCCCTTCTGGTACATTGGGTCCTGGACTGTCTACGGGCAAGTGGAGGGGTTTGGTGGTCTCAGATGGAAGACATCCTGCCGCCCCACTTGACTCTGGATTCTGCACAGCCAAGTCCTTCCAGCCAGACAATAAATGTTACGGGGTAACAACGAATTGAGAGGACTCTATTGAGTTCGACGGATTAGGACAGAGGAAAGCGTGAGTTGGAGGCAGTGCTGCAGTAGGTAGGGACGGGTTTTCCCCTTTCGAGATTTCCCCACTGGGTTTGCTCAAAGCGGTTTTTCACCTGTCCGAGTATGTACGTACGTAGACGCTTGCAGCAGGAAGAGGACAAGGACGAGGATATCCGTAGACAGTATATAGTACAATCAGCAAATACCAACTTTGCTGATTCTTCTATATCATTCTTTGGCTACATCGATTGCAGAGGAGACACGATCCATCACATAGCACCAGAGACACATAGATTTCCACGAGACTTCCATCGAGTTCGACCCAACCTGCGGCCTAGTCATCGTGTTTCCAGTACCGTTACAATAAACCTGCTTCATGACACACTGTAAAGTTGAATGAGCCATCATACTCCACCAGTTCTTCTAAGATGATGTTCACCCTTCCAGTTTCTGAAAAGGGGACTATTATGCTGTCTGGAGCTCTGTTTGGCCGTATGTCCGCTCTGGAAAAATAATCCAGAAATTTCTGGAGGTTTTCAGTGTGTTTGTATTTAACAGCACAAGATGAATAGTGTCACGACTCGGTAAAGTCGTGACCCGTGATTCAGGGATTTTCATGTTTTTCGTACGATTTCATATGAACTCATCCGAATTCATATGATTTCATATGAACTCACCCAAATTCATACGATTTCATATGAACTCACCCGAATTCATACGGTTTCACATGAATTCACCTGAATTCATATGAAATGACCACGAATTCACATGAATTCATACGAAGTAACCCGAAATCATACGAATGATTTGCGCATCAGAAGTCCCTTGGAAAAGGATATAAGGAGGACATTTCTATTTTGTAGTTTCTTCTTTCCAAGGATCAAATTTTTTTTTGCCACTCGCAAAAGACCTCTTCTTGACATACTACTTACATCCGACACATCCCTCATCATCATTACCCCTGTCCACACCATCACACACACCCATATCGTCATCTCGACCTGCCCGGATGTCATGAATAGTGATAAGGAATTCTGACTCATGCTCAGAATAGTGATAAGGAAATATGACTCATGCTAGGAACTGTGATAAGGATTGAGGGAAAATATGAGTCATGGTATTTAGCAGTTCAGCAGTGAGGCATTTATGTGATTGGCTGAAGCCTGGAAGGTTCAGCAGTTTAGCAGTGAGGCATTTATGTGATTGGCTAGAAAATCCCTCACACGCTTTTTATTTAGTACACCTACTTTAGTTTTGAAGGGTATAAAAGGAGCACATCTCCCCCCTCTTTCTTCAGCAATGTATCTTCATCTTGAAGTTGAACTTCATCTTTGAAAGTCACCTAGTTGGTTCTAACCCAACACCTCAGTACCCTCAGTACCTAAGGCAGTCATCAAGCTCTACGAGCCAGAGACTAAAACCCTTCAGTACCCAAGGCAGTACTTTGCAACCACAGTCTACCCGCAGGTGTGACACCGGATCCTTCGCAAGTCACTTTAGTCGTCCGACCACATCACAAGTCTATGGACAACATACTAACCGTCGTTGTCCAAGCTAACTAAACAGTTGCAGTCCACCTGTCTTTGATCCATTGAGGTCTGTCAAGGACAGGACCGTGACAAACAGTGTTTAACAACCAGGCTGGCCATGCCCTCTTCGCATCTGAGATATTTCTCACCCACCAAAAAGTGTGAAGCTCTGCTTTTCCCATCTATTGTATGCTCATGTATCCGGCCTCCCAAACACAGGGTTACCCATCCTGGATCAGCGGGCTCAGAGGCCAGGGTTATCTCCACCACCAGCTTTCCGGCCTCTGAAAATAGCATTTCTGCAATACTCTCACCGTGCTTGGCAATCACAGCTTCCTTAGGTTCATCTAATTGAGTAGTGACATAGTGTCATGAATGCAGTAAGGGACCTGCATCATAACATCCTCGCTAAAAGGTTCAATACTCGACATCTTCCTGGTAGATGTCGAGTTCCCTTATAAGGGGTACTCAGTTCCTGACACATAGCTGATGTTGAGGAACCCCCATATGCGAAAGAGGTTGGCCACCTCAGCTGTTGTTAGTCCTGACATTATGGGCGGGTCCGTTAATGTTTGCCACTGAAAGAAGTGATGGTCAACCCCTGCTAGGTAACCTTTTTAAAATGCCCCTCCCTCCCTCTTGCCAAATCTTGGTGAGAAAGTGGCGCTCGGATCAAGGGAGACGTGTGAGAAGGAATATCCCTTCTTTTCTTCCCCTTTGACTAGAAAGCGCACGATCCACTTGGGTCGTTAGCCTGTAACCTACGGACGACTCGAGATCTGTGTCCATCTCACGCTACACTGATCAGAATTCTTGCGTCGACCACAGGGGAGAGGAGAGGAGTTGCGTGGACCTTCATTCACCGCCCCTTCACGTCGTATACGCTCCGAAGCTAGACTCTTGGCTGGTCTTGCTACGGTAGGAAGGCAATCTCACCCGTCTTGTGAATGGTCGACTCGCACCGCCTCCGGTCTAAATCACCTCTGATGTTGTCGCCTAGCAACGTCTCCTTTCCCATCAAAGGTACGTCACTCACCCAAACGGGTTAGTCTGGTGCAGGGCCGGGAATCTTGGGCGCGGGGGAGATAAGCGCGATAAGTATGACACCCCAACTCGCTTAGCGAGCTACGTATAACCGTGTGAATCTTGATGAAAGGTTGAGACCATATACAAGACGTCATCCTTCAGAGGGTGAAGTCGAACCGTCTGGTGGAGATGTTAGAATGAAAGGTCGTGGTTGGATAAGATGAGTGTGGGACGAACAAGAAGAGACTCACTCGGTAAGCTATACCTGTCATATGTCAATTTCATTAGCCCTGATAGTATCTTCAGTCTAACTTCTAGCTTGTTGATCACCGGGAGAATCTCGTTTAACAGATTGCATGATATTCCTCAAATAGCCAGATTGAAATATATCTTCGAAACTAATCCGCAAGCCTTCGTATAGTACGTCGTTCTTTCTCGCCGACAACCTTGAGTACTCCTTCTTCCACAAGACCTTTGACGACCTCTGCGAATTCCGCATGGTCGAGAGGGATGCTGCTTTGTTGTTCGAGGGATTTGATACCCACTGTCCATCGAAGTCCTGATCGACCACTGTTGTCGACTAATGAGAGGATCTGACATCAGCCTCTTTCCTTATATCTCTCTCGCTTCCCACTCAACATATATTGATATTATTCGTAGATTGCGAGATGACGGTATGACATTGATAGATGAGAAAACAACATTCACCTCTCGTTTCAAATCCGCCCGTACACGACGAGCTGTAGACCCAGCACCAGTATTAATCAAATCCAGATCTATCTGCCCTGTCAAAGGGTCCGTCTATCACGTCAACCTTCTCATCAATCAAATCTGGAAGATTACTCACAGCACTTTCCCTCAAAGCGCTCTTGATCAACCTCGTAGCTTCGACCACGTCTTTCAGATCGACAGTCTCGCTCAACCTCATTCTCGCGTGTGCTTCACTGAGACGTATCATACTCTCAAGCTGTCGAGTGGTAGCGGTGATTCGTTTTTCTTGAGTGCGAGAGTCGGTACCTGCTTTTCGCATCTCCACGTAGGCTTGCACGAGGGCAGTAGAGGCGTCTTGAGTCAATACAGGGTGGATCCTGGAGCGAGAGTAGGTTATGTATGCGGTTAGCATGTCAAGGGGCTGTTGGTCAGTAAAAGCTCTTGGACTACTCACGCAGTCCATCATATCGACTCTGTTTGAGGATCCTTACCAAACCGTGCGAATAGATATTATAGGTAGCAGTGATGAGAGCATGCGAGGAATGCGAGTTCCATGAGTGGTCCAATGGAACTTCAGGAGATAGTCGGAGTATATGACACTTACAATAATGTCAATACCACCCGTATCAGGCCTGTCCTCCAAGTAGAGCCCCACAAGATGCTTTGCCAAGCGTCTGTCATTCATCTCGTCTACCTTGTCCAACACGAGGTACAGCAAGTCGAACCGTGAAATCAAAGTTGGCGGAAGGTCGATATTAGCCGGAATAGGCAACTTGGGATCGTATCGACTATTAATCGGATTGGCTGCAGCTAAGATCGATGTTCGGGCATTGAGAGTAGTGATAATGCCCGCTTTGGCAATGGAGACGGTTTGTTGTTCCTGCAAGTCGGCACAACGCTTTTCCAAAGTGTTCGAACTGCCCGCTTTCCAGCTCGGACTCATAGACTCGACATCTCATCAGCCTTGTCATCCTTCTGAGCTCATTCATGGGCTTATGTGGAGAAATGTAACAGAATTCAACAAGACAGCAGGATACGATTGCACTTACCATTACTTCATGCAAAACACTTCGTGTGGCATCGCTCATCTTGTCGAATTCGTCGATACAACATACCCCACCGTCAGACAACACCAATGCTCCACTGACATGTCAGTTCACGAAATCGACATTAGCTCGAAACTCACCTTTCGAGGACGAGCTGCTTGCTATCTGGATCTCTGGTGACATATGCGGTGAGACCAACGGCTGAACTTCCTTTCCCTGATGTGTATACACCACGGGGTGCGATTTTGTGTACGTACTAAGTGATCAACTCTGCTCGCTGCAGACACGTCTCATTCCTTGATGCTCTCCATTATCCTCTATATCGAGATCTAACCTCATGCTGAATTGGTAATCTGATGAAAAGCAGAGAAGGATATGTGCCGAGTAGAACACGCAATGACGAGAACTGAGTAGGGCCGAGCTTGGAGTAGCACGAGTCACGGAGAAGCGGTGCTCACCTGCAAAATCTGTGATTTACTCGTACCAGGATCGCCGACCATGAGCACATTGATATCACCTCTGTACCTAGGTCCACCCCCTCCTCCACCTCTAGCAATACTCTTGTTCGTACCACCAAACAATTGCAACAATATTCCTTTTTTCACATCGTCCAATTCCCAGATACTTGGTGCCAAACTGCGAGAGAGAATGTCATAGAGCTCCGGATTCCTAGACAACTCCAAAATCTTTTGTTCCATCTCTGCACTCGCCGTAAAACCCGGCTCATCCTGAGTTTCCTCCATCGTTTCATCCCCGCTTTCAGGTCTAGCGAGTGTTTCAGCCTCATCATCCTCTCCACCCACACCTACTCCAGGAGGTTTCCCCTCACCTTGTCTGGTTGAAGGATCATATCCCATCCGAGCTGAGTTGGTACGTTTCACGTGAACCACATCCAGATATGTCTTGAAAAGCGCTTTGATACTTCTCTGACGAGGATTCACTCGGACGGGAATGGAACGGAAGATACCGGTGATAATGACTCTATCACCGGGTTTGACAAGATCGACAAGTTCATCGTATACGCACAAAGACACAGTGTGAGGTGTCTGACCATCTGGAACTGCGTCGGGAGTCTCTTGTAACCGAATCACTTGTTTGTTGGTGAATTCTGATCTGTTGTGAATGAGGGACATGGTGCCTTTGGAATTACACACGTCACGAGGACAACGATCGGGTTCGTTAATCCTTCCTCGGTCTATATCAGCTTGGACGGTGTGCTGGCAGACCAAGCATCGGAAGAAGGCTACATGTCAGTGGAAATGATTACATTTCCTCGTCCACACATGATAAAGCACCATTCCTGCAGATCCGGTGGTTGCTTTCCAGTAATGAGCAAATGGGTAATGGCAGGGTATGAGACGATTCAGAATCGAGGGTGTAGGATAAAACACTCACCGGTCACCATATCCGGTATCACGGCCGTAGCTCTAATCACCAAACCCTTGACACTGACTAACTCGTCCGTGTCCCCCGGGTTCAAATCCCTCATGTTCACAGTCCTATCTCCTCCAAAAGGTCTGACTTTGTACACTCTCCCTTCTATATCCTTGAGATCCTCTTCCAGCATGCGCAGTTCTATTTCCTGAATCGTCCCTTCTGCATACTTGTTCTGCGCGATCTCCAGCTCTTCATCCGCCATCTCGATCATAACATCCCTCAGAACCTGATCCATGATGGGAATCACCTCCTGCGGATAATTGACAAGCTGATGGTACAACTTCTTGGTAGGCCCATACGACAACAGATTCAACGCGTCGAGATTGAGATTGGTTTGTCCTGTCAATCGAAGCTGTTTGAGATATCGTTCATATAACACCGCTTCGGCAGCTTGGGCGGACAGACCATCGTATAATGGCATAGGAGGTGGAGCTTGTTTGCCTTCCTCCAGAAAAGATTGAGCGATGGAGTCATTGTATACTGCCCGATACTTGGGCTTGAAACCTCGGAGGAAAGACCGGAATTCGTTCATCGCTTCTTGCAGGGAAATGGTGGTTCCCCAGATGAACTTGACCATCCCTTCTTCCCCGACATCGGGAGCGCCGTCGGTGGGTGCCATGGCCGAGAGAGTGGGGGCGGAGGATCCAGGAGCACGAGGAGTAGGATGAGCGGCATCGAAAGGCTGGTCGGATATATCTGTTTGACCAGAAGGAGAGGATGCGCGAAAGAGGTCGGCGTTGACATTGGTTTGAGCGCGTCTAGCGAGAGAGGGAGAGGAGAGAGGGAAGGAAGAGTGGATGTCTCCTCGACGAGGTCGACGGGGCGTAGAACCGCCAGAACTGAGTGTGAGAACTGAAATGTCGAACCAAGAAAGAAACGCAGAGAAGGTGTGCCGATCCGGTGGGAGCGTGAGGCAGAGAGGGAGTCTGAGGATGCATGTTTGTGGGGTGGGTGGACATGCGAGAGGAATGTAAACGATGTACTCACGCAGGGAAGAATAAAGGTGTCTCTCCCCTAGCCCTCGCAACAGTTCTATGAACGCTAGGTGCGTCCGAAAATCCGACGTCAGACCTCTGGTGCGTAGCAGATGGCTGAGAAGGAGAAGTAGGGAATGCTAAAGGGGAGGAAGATGGAGCTGCACGTCAGTTCGAGTAATTCATCTGGAGTCTTAATATTGATTTCGTCGGTAGCCCTCAAGACAGCATGCAGATATGATGACTCACGAGCAGCGACCCTCGGAGCTCTGGGAGTAGCGGCAGCGCTTGAACTTGGAAAGTGCAATGGCGACGAACTCCCCATGGGAGGTTGAGACCCGTGAGGGGTCGGAGTAGACATTGTCGATATTCCCGGTGTATATGCTTAGGAAGGACTGGTGATAGCTCAGTCAAGAGTATGCCTCGAAGGTATTGAGAGCTGTAGACGGGGAGCGTGGAGTGGAACGAATGTATAAGATTCTCAGAAGAGTGGAAAGAGATGCAGGAGGTGGAAGATGGAAAAGCGCGTCGTGGGGTCGCGTCGGGGTCGAGACGCGTTTCCCACGTCATCATTTATCACACCCCTCTTATCAAAGCATACGCTGCGCGCAACGTCGAAGACCATCAACAACCCCGATCGTCGAAAGCTAAGGTAAGAGGGACAAAAGTGTGTAAAGATATTTCACACTACTTTGGAAAGGAGGGGTTGAATCTACCTCTTTCAGTAGATCTAGTAAAACCTCCCTCTTTTCCCTTTTCCTTGTCCGAGAATCTACCTTACCTCTTTCCCCTGACTTGTCCTTGCGACCTCCTCACTCCCCTTCATCTCGCATGGTCATGTCCTTCGCAGGGGGGAGAAAAGGTTGAGTCGTTGGGTGAAGAAGGGCCCACTATGTTAAGGTGACGCATAAGTGAGAAATACGGTAGAGGAATTGGAACACTCAATAGGATCCATGCATCATCTAGATCAAGTCACTATGACTCAGAGAGAAGACTTCGCCTTGAGCTCGCCCTTGACGGCCTTGCTCATACTCTCTGCGAAATACTGCCCCGTCAGCCGTCGACAAACTTGTTTCTTCCGAGATACTATGGTACGCGATACCTTACGTGCTACCAACTGAGTATCGTAGGAACTACGAGATGAAGAAATAAACCATACAGAAATGAATTGATAGCAAAAAAGGAATTGAGAGGGATAGGATGAGAATGGGAAAGGAGCTCACCTGCACATTGTGATCGTTCAAGCCTGCCATACTGATCCGTCCATCCATGGTCATGTAGACATGGGCATGTTCAGCGAGAGCGGTGACTTGTTCGGGAGTGACTGTCCGTCAGTACATTTCCACTTCAGAAGCACATCATAGTATGCGTCGCATAGCATTCGAGAGAGAAAAGGGATTTGAGTAAAAACCAATGGGGGGTCGTGCCAATGTCAACAGCATATTCGACTTACGACCAGTAAAAGAGAACATGCCAATCTGCGACTTGATATGTCCCCACTCGCCCGGAGTCTCAAGCTTCACCAACAGGTCATACAACTTAGAGCGCATATCGATAATTCTATCTGCCATCTTCTTGACTTCGGTAAGCCTATAAGTGAGCGGTTGTGGTGAGTTACCGAGCGGACGGACTTACCATAGTTCGAGTAGCTCGGGTGTACCGAGGATGGTAGCGACGAGTTGAGCGCCGCTGGTTGTCAGCGCCGACTCCAGGGTATTTGTGTGAGTTATGTCGCTTTGAAATCAGCCAAGAACAAGAACTCACTGAAGGGGAGGACTAGAATACAAAGGCCTGATCACTCTCTTGACCTGACTTAACACCCTGTTCTTCTCCTCTTTAGAGGAGCAAACCATCGAGAATGTCCCTGCTCTCTCCCCATAAAGACCCAAGTTCTTGGCGAACGATTGACACAAGATAATCTGATGTCCTTGTTCAACAAAGTGACGCACAGCAAAGGCATCTCCGGAGACATCACCCGAAGCGAATCCTTGGTAGGCCATGTCGAACAATGCAAGGTGCTTTTTCTGCTTGAGAAGTATGCTGAGTTCTTTCCATTGTTCCTTGGTGGGATCGATACCTGTGGGATTCTGGGCACAGGCGTGGAGGAGGATCTGCAGGTCAGCCGTCTCATCGTCCTCCGAGTGAAGGGAGATTTCATTCTTTTCATGTGCGGTGAGGCGGCTAGCGACGTAGAACTTGACATCGTATGTAAGTAAAGGGGAATATAAAAAGTAACAAGAGACCAGTTTGACTCACAATTGATCCTGGTTCGGCAGCTTCGATATCCTCTTTCATACCCTCAAAGTCCAATCCAACAGTCTTTTTGTCAAAGTACCTATATGCCGTCAGCCCCAGAATACCACGAACTCATGAGATGGCATTCGAAGAGAGTTCGAGTCAACCCACCTGTATCTTGCGGACTTCATACCTGTTTGCTCAACGATAGGAATGTGATTCCCCCATGTCGGGTTTGGGATGTATACGACCTGTGGACCTGTGTAATGGAATGAGAGAAATCCAGTAGCAATCCTCAAAGCTCCTGTACCGGAGATAGATTGAGCCACGGCGATCTGGCGATCAGCTCGACTTTCAAGGTGATCCTATTCCGTCCATCATTCGTCTACTTCCAACCGCGGCTCTGCTCTTTTCCCTCTGTGCGAAGCCACGTTTAGACGAGAAATAACGGTTGAGTGAATGTGAGATATCACCTACTCTATCTTCCACAATTGGTTTGCTTTCTTTTCCATAAGCCAACTCCGAGGCCAACTTCGTAAAGTCCGCTGCTCCCTACTTATCAGCTCTGCCATATACATATATCTGCCAGCCAACCGTTATGGGCAAATACTCTTTATTGAGTTTTTTCTGTTGCAATATATCTTCCGCTTTGAGGACAGAATCAAGTACCCATGGTTTCCCATCTTCGTCTCGCTAACGATCAACATCAACACACAATATGATTACATGGAAGACTTACGTATGCGCCTTTCAGACGAACAAAGGAGTTACACAGAAGAGAGATAGGCGGAGTTGAAGGAGATAACGAGAGTTCATAGAGTCGAAGATGGTGAGATGTGATGATTTGTAGGGTATTAAAAGTGAGTGAGGAGGGTAGGTTCAGCTTGACTACAGTGAGACAAGTGAGAAACTCACCGACACCAAGGTTGACCCTTTTGGGATCTTTATCGGCGTTGAATTTGTCTTGAACACCGAGGATAGGGTCTTCGGGACTGCGTAGTGAGCCAATATGTGCGGGATAGAACGCTGACAAGCTTCAGTCACAAATGATAAGCATTGAGAAGAAGGGATGTTGTACAGAATGGGAACGACTCACCCCTGCTGAACAGTCGCCCAGAAGTCAGTGAATAGGTTAGCTGGTTGTCAACGCTGCTTCTCTTCACACCACCGCAAAGGGTGGACCAGAAGAGTATGTTTGGTGGTAGCCAAGAGTATGAGGGATGATATTTACCCATGTCTATTTGTCTAAGTGTATGCTTGATTGTATGATAAGATGAAAGAGAAGAGTAGAAGGGATGAGATAGGAGACGTTGTTCAACACCCCGCCCGCCCGGATCATTCCCTCCGCCCTTCCACCGGCCCGGAGCCCCGGGACGGAACAATATTACGTAACTAGCTTCTCCAATCAACGAAGGGACGTTTGCACTTCTCGGCAACGAGTACTCTGGAGGGTAGAGTCTCTGTAAGTAGTATAGGCAATATGCTTCATAACCAAACACCAGACCCTATGCATGCCTACAGAGCCAAGAGGGACAGAGAAAGGAGAACGTGAGTCTTTCCCTCTCTTTCTTCCCACAGAAACCACTCGAGAACTAGCTGACAGACAGCGTGTTGAAGGCGTACAAAATACTGGGGTTCATATCCTCCGGTAAGTATCTCATATCCTCCCCAGGTCCTAGGGACTAGCTATATGAGCTATGGAAGGTTAACCACTGACGATTAGGAACCTATGGTAGAGTTTACAAAGCTATACTGCTAGGACCTCCTCATCCTACCAAATCCTCCACTTTACCTTCATCAACCAGAGCAGCGTTATCACTTTCCAAAGGTCCTAGTCCTGTCTCACCCAGTACTTCCACTTCCAGTTCAGCAATCTCGGCAGTTAACGACGCTTTGAACAATCCTGAATTACGTATGCGACCAGGTGATTTGAAGGCAAAAGAAGGAGATGTATTCGCTATCAAAAAGTTTAAACCGGATAAGGAAGGGGACGTTCAGATGTACGCTGGGATAAGTCAAAGTGGTATTAGAGAGATCATGGTGAGTGTCATTATCTCTGTCCACTTGCTTTTGGACTATATCACTTGTGAAGCTTATATATGATATTAGGATCTTCGGAAGTCGTTCAGAAGGAAGGTATTAGGGTGATTGTTGACTTGGCAGTTGAATAGAGAATTACGACATAGAAATTTAGTCTCATTGAGAGAAGTCATTTTGGAAGATAAAGCTATTTATATGGTATTTGAATATGCTGAACATGATTTTCTTGTGAGTCATCGTTTCTCCTCTTTTCTCTTTCTCTTTCTCTTCTCAGTGTTCGAATACTCCCGATCACTCACCTCCGTTCACTCCCACTCCCCCTTGATGTCCTCTCTTTCGCTCCTCCACAGAAAGAAATTTGTGTCATTCCTGGGTATTTTCGATAACTATATACTTGAAAGGGCAGTAAGATTGACACCAGCAAATAATCCATCATCACTCTCAAACCGTCCGTACCCCTATCCCATCATCAACCCTCCGTAGACTCCTTCATCAACTCCTCTGCGGAGTTCATTTCCTTCATTCAAACTTCGTCCTTCACCGAGACCTGAAACCAGCCAACATATTGGTCACTTCTGCCGGAGTTGTGAAGATTGGCGATTTGGGTTTGGCTAGATTATGGCATAGACCATTGGCACAGGGAGGTTTGTTTGGTGGGGATAAAGTTGTGGTTACTATTTGGTATAGAGCGCCTGAATTGATTTTGGGAGCTAAACATTATACTGCTGCTGTTGGTACGTCGTCATTTGACTCATTTTTCCTCTTTCATCTCTTTTGCTTCACGAGCATTTTCTCCGAATCCACTTGATTGACTTTCTCCCCTCTCTTTAGTCAAACATCTATCAGACGGACCTTTGTAAGATGAGGAAGTAAGATAGAGGGTGATGGGAATACCTGAAATGGAATACTTTACGGATTAGTTTTCACAAGCTTACGAGTAGACCTTTGGGCTATAGGTTGTATCTATGCCGAATTACTTTCCTTGAGACCGATTTTCAAAGGTGACGAAGCTAAGTTGGATGGTAAAAAAGCATTACCTTTTCAGAGAGATCAGATGGGTAAGATCTGCGAGGTTTTGGGGCCGGTGAATGGTGAGTCTGAGTTTGATTATCTGTCTTTATCATCTTCATGGTTATCCACTTGTCACTCTTACACCCTAGTAGTAGCCAAGTTCCTTTTCATATCCCCACAATCCCTTCACACCCCACCCCACCCCACCCCATTCCCCCTGCGGGACCCCTTCCTCTCCAGAGCCATTCGATTTTATATACACCCAGCGTTGCATGTTCACGAGATACAACACGGAATTGTCATCCATGATATTTGAACAAGAAGCTCATCTTAGATACACATTGGCCAGGTATCGTCAATATGCCCGAATGGAAGACTTACCTGACTTCTGGTCCGTAAGTCGTTCCCACAATCCATTGCTGCTTCGTCCCTCACGTCTCCTGAGCGTTTACAAACATTCAAGTATCATCTTGTCTATGCTTCTCACACTCGGATTGATCCAACAGGATATGAAAGTACTTGTAAAGAAAGTTGCTCACAAATATCCAGCTACACCACCCCAACTCCACTTCCTACATGGTACTCCTCACGATCTGGTTCCGCACAAGGATACGACCTCTTATGCAAGTTATTCGAATGGGATCCCGCCAAACGTTTGACAGCTAAAGAGGCACTGAGACATTCTTGGTTTGCCGAGGAAGGTGGTGTTGACGTGCCGTGAGTCGATCCCTATCTCACTCTCTCTCTCATCTCTTCAGTTGTCCACCAGTATTTGAGCTGTATGTCACAGGGTAAATAATAATATCGGAGAGGGATGCAGGGACATGAGTTGATGGATCAGGAGCGTATTTCAAGGTAGTAATGTCAATTACCCATCACGGCGAGTTACACATGAAGATAATGGGGATGTCAAGATGGGATCGTAAGTTGTTTATCTTTTTCCCTTCAAATCTGAAATCACTTGGCTTCCTACATGTTCCTCTCGTTTTCTGGCCACTTGGCTCTTAAAACCACTACCCCGCTGCCATCGCCCAACTTCCGAGGCCTGCAGTAGGAATTCGTGGTCCTGACAAATGTTTGGGGTCATCTGCCACAGACATCACCCTTGGACCCGCAATCATCGCGTCCTTACATGACACACGTCCATCTCATCAATTCCGTCGCTACAGCCACTCTTTCCATGGAATATCACTGTCATCCCTCAGGACTGATACTGACTCCAGACTCCCCCCTTCCCTCGCAGGCCCGCGGTTACCAGCAAGCACCAACTTCCGTTCCACCTCAGCGGTGGGAGTACCTCCTAAACGTACTCGCTTACGTTGACTCTATGCTTCTCCTTGTCTCATGTATGCCACTCCTGTAGCTCTTCGGCTCCGACTTGAAAACTTGAATATGCTCAATAGTCGTGTGACACCTGAACATTCATGATCACTGGGAAGACTCGGCCGTACCGGTTGTACCGGTTTACTGGAATTTGTATGACGTCATTTTGGCCTATGACGTCGCATCCATCTCACAACCTCCTTCGACACCATTCTCCACTTTTCCACATCTGTTCAAAGTACAGTATAGTACAGTACAGTACGATTGTAGTATCATACAACATCAATCCTACAAGATGCAATTCATTAGTAACAAAGTACAAGATTCAATGGGGACTTTACCCAGTGAGTCTCTCGCCCCCCCCCCCGGCCTCTCTCACACCCTCTTAATCTTCTCTCCTACCTCTTTGACTCAAGCATTGAACAACGCTTCCCCTGTTACATCTCTCCCCAACTATTCTCTCGCTGGCTCGTCTGTATGTTGTGTCAAGCATGTGTTGTTTACGTAGCGAAGTTGAACACGAGGGCGATTTGGGTAAAGCACATGCTACAATAGCGCATAAGGAACACATAGTTGGTGTCGTGACATGCTTCGAAGAGAGCTATGACAGTCTTCGCAAATCAGTAAGAAAGCATGGATTTAGATGGCTGATAGATCAGCCGCAACAGACCCAGCATACAAACATCGTCCAGATGGATCAACCATGAAAGCTCTAGCATGGTTCGGTAATCGTGATGTCAGAATTATAGATGCCCCTATACCTGATATCTCCGAGAATAAAGATGTTATTGTACGTACGACCGGAACCACTATCTGCGGTAGTGATCTTCATCTGTATCATTCGGAAATGATGGGTTTGCAGAAGGGAGATATTTTGGGACATGAGTTTATGTGGGTCTTCCAATATCTTTATCTACCTACACCAATCTCTTCCCAATCCAACAACCTTTGACTGTGGCCCTGCCTTTGTTCCGTATGTCATCCATTGTGATCTCCGCCTCACTAGTCAACCGTATATGACTCGCCTTGTCTCATTGTTTACTCACATGTATTGACTGCTTTCCATGACCTTCAGGACTTTTGTGAAGATATGAACACCCTTGACCCCAAGTGATCATTCGTGGTTTTGACAAATGCGGTCGTGGAGAGCGAGGAAGAGAGAAAGTTCAAAAGCTAATCATTAGGGCAATCATAGACCGTGTAGGACCCGAAGTCACAACTCTCAAACCCGGTGATAAAGTTGTAGTCTCTTTTCAAATAGCATGTGGGACTTGTAGATATTGTCAGAAAAAGTATAGTTCAATGTGTGATTGGACGAATAATTCTTCTTTACAGAAAGGAATGTATGGACAGCGTGATGCTGGTTTTTTGGGGTATGGGCATTTGGTGAGTTACAATCTACTTTGACTTTGTTCGACTTGACATTACCTCTATTCACTTCTTAGAATCCCACTCCCGGCGCGGTTCTCTAACCGTCTCCTTGATGTCCCACTTCGTAGTCCCCCATCTTTATGGTGGTTCATCTCAGTAGTGTCTCTGTGACCCTTGTTCATCTCGTTTCACCATTTTCCGGTCGCGTCAGAGGTCTCGATGAAAGTGAAGGGGGGGGGGGGGGGGGGGGGGGGGGTCAAAGTTTTGCGCTGACTCCAAGACCGGTGGTTTTCCCGGAGGTCAAGCCGAATACGTTCGAGTACCTTTTGGTGAAGTCAACTGTTTGAAGGTACCTCCTGGAGTATGTGATGAGGATGTTTTGTGTGAGTCGTTTTGATCCTTTCCCTCGCATTCATTTCACTTTTCCTCTGTCACCCTTTTGTCCACTTGCCCATTCAAACTCGGCATGCCCACTCTCTTCGGAGGTGCAATTGAGTTTCTTCCGAAACTATCTACTCCGCTTCCAAACTCTTCTCTCAATTAGCATTTGCTCATGACAGACCTCTCGGATATTCTCCCCACATCATACCACGCAGTCATGGACACCCGCGTTGAACCTGGTGATGTCGTCGGTGTATGGGGTCTTGGACCTATCGGACAATGTGTAGTGCGTTGGGCTTTATTAAAAGGCGCTTCAAAGGTATATGCCATCGACACTATCCCTTCGAGGTTGGTTCTGGCCAAACAGGCAAAAGGGGAGGTGGTGACGATTGATTTTAATGCGGAGGATGTTAGTAAGAGGATTCAAGCTGAAGTGCCAGGAGGTTTGGATGGTGAGTTTGCTTTTTCTTTTCTCTTCTCGTCCTCATTTCCCGTCACTCACCTCTCATCCTTTGACATCCCCAATACGTTATCCAACATCATTTCTCCTCAAACAAGCAACCGCCTCTCGATCAATTCATTCAATCGACCATCAAGGAGCAGGGACGGATGCTAACATGTCTGTAGTCTGCATCGATGCTTCCACATACCACGAACCGAAAACGCTTTTACACAAAGTTGAAAAAACACTCATGTTGGAAACGGACGTATCTGAAACTCCGAACGAAATGATCTACCTGGTCAAGAAATTCGGAAGAGTAGGTCTTATTGGAGTTTATTCCGGTTACACCAACCATTTCAATATCGGTGCATTGATGGAAAAAGGTGTTAGGTTTATAGGTAATGGACAAGCACCTGTTCATTTGTATTGGGAAGAGATATTAAATGATTATATCTTGACGGGAAAATTCGACATGAAACCTTTGGTCACTCATCGTGTTAATTTGGAGGATATGAAAGAATTGTATGATAAGTTTGATAAGAGATATGCTGGGGTGAATAAGGTGTTTGTTCAGACTAAAGTCAGGTGGGTCCCTTCTTTCGTATTTTTCATGCCATTCCTTTTGTTTATAATGCGTATCGTCGCATATACTAATCTTTCTTCACCTCTGTCCCTACTTTTTGACATCAGAAATCAGAATTTTTGATCAATTCTGTTCCTTGACTGTTTATTCGGATGTCCTAGTTTGATCGGGATATCCTTATAACTCACTTCTATTTCAAGTTGTATGGTCCCACGTCATCTCTGTTTCTATGCTGTGTCTCCAACACCCCTGATATTTTCCCCACTTCTTCTTCTTTTTACTTTGATATTGGGGTAGAAGTGGGAGAGTAGTAACATTCGCTGATAGTATAGTGAAGCACCTGGTGGGGGGTACCCTCCATTGACCAAAGTGTCCGATTGGGCGGACAAGGTGATGTGAACAGTCTTGTCCCTCTTATGCCGGTTTGGTAGGGAGTGTAGCAATCATATGAATTGTACATGATGTGGTAAAGTCGAGTGACTCGTAATGATTATGCAATCGTAGCACCAACCTTGTGTGTGTCACCTCGAAGATATTGACCATCCGTGTACCTCATCTCGTGTACTGTGACCCATATTAGCAACTTGCTTTTGACGTATGGTAAGTTGTGACCAGGAGTTTGGTTACACACGGTGAAAATTGTGTATGCCTGGTCACCCACATGTCTCTCCGTGCTGTATAGCTGTACAACCACCAAACGACCTGCACTATGTACATGGCGGGTCTATGAGGAAGACTGCCACATTGGGTGAGTGCCACATTCCTTCCCACCTCGTCCACCCAAACTACCATAACTTACCCACGCTACGTATTACTTACTCTCCATACTGACCTTACTCTCTCCATTGGATATCTTTACATTCAGCAACGCAACTCTCACTATAATCCACTGCATCATCTGATATAGCGGAAAATGGGTGAGTACAATAACCGAGGTTTCGCTGATGAACTAGGTTTACTCACTATCATCAGAAAAAACAAAGCGAAATCCAAAGAAATGAGATTTTTGTTCTTGTATATCTTTTCTTCTCTTTTCTCAGCTACTCCTTCACCACACTTCCATGCTTAGAGTTGTTATTATTCTTTGCGTCTCATGAATAGTGAACGGCATCACTTTCGAATGTAACGGAACCGACTGAACGATGAGATGAAGATGAACCGAGGGGTCAAAACTGACCAAATATAGAGGCTTGGATAATGCTGGTAAAACGACTATATTGAAGAAATTGAACGAAGAGGATATTCAAGATGTTTCCCCAACGTTAGGATTCAATATAAAGACTTTGATAAGAGATGGGTAAGTTGTTTCTCGTTTCAGATCTCTGACATTGCTCTCTGTCTTTCTTTTGCATGTCTTACGCAGTGATACGATGACGACCCTTTGATGGAGTTTATGTTAAGGTGAAGAGACTGATATTAGGTACACTTTGAATATATGTACGTGTGTGCTTACACCTTCTCTGCCCTAATTTCCTTACCTTGAGAAAAGTCAGAGATAGGAGCGAAAGAGGTATACCATTATTGTTTCGGCACGTATGTTCGGCTGTCAATGAATCTAGACATTGACAACAAGGGGATGTCGGGGGTCAGAAGACACTACGACCATATTGGCGAAATTACTTTGAATCTACCGACGCAGTAGTCTGGGTGGTGGATTCATGTGATCGGATGAGAATTCGGGATTGTGGAGAAGAACTGAGAGGTTTGTTGAAAGAAGAAGTATGTCTTCGACTCCTTGCTATCAACAACACTTCCCCCGACCCTGATTCTTGGACAAGATGTGATTCGTGGTGTCAATTCCAGGAAGAGCTGACAGGTAGCGATTGGCAGGAGCCACTTTATTGATATTTGCCAATAAACAAGATCTCGTAGGATCGTTATCTTTGGAAGAAATAAGAGATGTATGTTATTATCTCCCAAATTATCCGCACGTGTAAGAAGAGAGGTTGATCTCAGGGTCTCGACTTACATTCGATAAAATCTCATCAATGGTCTATCCGACCTTGTTCCGCCCACACGGGAATGGGACTTGAAGAAGGTATACAATGGGTGGTTAAGCAAGTAGCTGGGAGATTGTATTGGTCCGGACTTAATTCACCTCGGTCGATTGTGGAAACTCCGACGACCGAAATCATCACCACTTAGTTTCTCATACGTGATATTTGTCAGTCGTTGGTAAAATTGTACGAGATTTGGACTCGACATCGCTGCTAGAATGAAATAAGGCTTCACTGTTGGTGAGTCTTGTATCTCTCCCCCCGCTCTTCCATGCTCCTCCATGCTCCTCCATGCTCCTCCATGCTCCTCCATGCTCCTCCTTGCTCCTCCATGCTCCTCCATGCTCCTCCGTCCTCCTCCGTGCTCCTCCATGCTCCTCCATGCTCCTCCATGCTCCTCCATGCTCCTCCATGCTCCTCCATGCTCCTCCATGCTCCTCCATGCTCCTCCTTGCTCCTCCTTGCGCTCCTCGCCCTTTTTTCTCTTCTCCTATCAGTATCCGCGACCCGATTTCACCCTTCACATGAATGACGTGTGAGATTACATCCCGCTCCTCATTCATACGCACGTCACCCTTGCGGTCGAGCGGCAACACAGATGCCATGAACTCCACGACCCTTCATCGTCATCTGGGTCATACCTGTGCAGAATTGCAGATCACTGACGAGCAGAAGGAGGGGCTGCGCATCCCTTACATCATCCCTTACATCACCCCGAGATCCCTCCGTCCCAATCCTCGCGTTACCGAATGGCCTGTCGAAAAGTGAGCCTCACGGCGGAGTTGAACGAATGTGAGGCGAGGGCTAAAGATCAAAACGATGTGAACTCAATCTCCACCACTCGAAATACAAAGCGGTGCCGTGATAGTCGGAGACGAGGATAGAGAGTGCTTTCAAAGGAGAATAAATGGTACGTACGACTGGTACTCCGAATTGGAAATGTAAATTTGCAATCCCAGAGTCATCGCCTATGAGTTGGGGTGAATGACGATGATTGTGCTGACTTGTCGATGCTGATACTTACGTCCCTCGCCTTTGGTCACCGTCGCAGAAACCCCACGACCCGTCTTGGACCGTTTTCGAACTCCGAAGGAGTGGTGTGGGAATCGGTCCCAGGATATCATCCTCTCCCCTCTCCGGTAGCCATGTCATCAGTCTATGATCATTCTCCACTCAGACAAAGTGGAGTTTATGATCTCTCCTGATCATAGCTTACGTCGGTCCAACGGTGACGAGATTTCATCGGTTGATGGGGCTATCCATGAGGGTGAGTCTTAATACAGGATGATGATTTCAAAACTATAAGTGGACATGTCAATCTGGTTGTTTCCCTCAGAGAGTAATAATCATTACTTATTCTTCCGGCCAAATCTGATCGAAAAGCTAACTCACGTAAGAACTCTAGTCATGACCAATCCGACTGATGACTTGACTGATCAGGTCACTTTCACTCATCGGGAGCTCATACTCAGGGGATCCAACACTTCAGTGTCTCAAGTGACCACAGAAGGTGACCCAAACCGACCAACATACATAGATGTAAAACGCCGCTTTTACCTACAAGCAGCAATGGCTTCCAGCGACGAAGAAATGTTGGAGATGTCGCCGGTCCAATTTCGAATGATAGCTACTTGCACCTGCAATGTAACTCCCTCCGCGGAAGAATTGAATGTAGCAGTTCAAAATCGACTACCTCCTAGTGATGTTGGAGCAAGAGTCATGTTCACAATTCTACAAGGTACCGATTCTACTTCAAACTTTGATGAAGAAACAATGACAGATATTGATAAAGCTATTCAAAATCCAAGCGCCATCATACCGATACACAGTTTATTTTATTTTGATGAAGAAACTGAAAATCTGACACTTCCCGGGCTATATACTCTAATCGGTTTTGAGATGAATCTTGAAAGTGTTGTGAGAACAAATTGTAATGCTGAAGGAGACACTGATCAAGTAGAAAACACATTTTCTAAACCATACTTGGGTTTCATGACTCGAGATGAACTTCTTAGGATGAAAAGAGATTTTTTCAAAGTGCTTCACGATGGAGTTTCAGAAGGTATGAATGAAGCTGATGCTGCAGATTGGTGTATCTGTGATGGATCCGGTTTTGTAGTAGATGGAGAAGGTAAGGGTGTTTCAGTTAACGTGACCTACCGAAGAAGGAGAGTGATAATTTTACGTACACATCAATCGAATAAGAATGAAAGACTACTTTCCCTGCAGAGGAAGATTGGGTATAGTAGCGGTCATCAACCTCCACCAACAGAGCTGTATAGGTGATGGGGTCTTCAATATGAGGAAGGCCATTTCGTTGGTATTTGAAGTGATGATGGTAAAAACGGATGAACGAAGAAAGGGAGAGTATGAGATGATGAGGGAATGCATTGGTTCTCTTTCCTGTCAGGCTATTTGAGATGGGGTATTAGTAGGTATATAGGTACCATTGTAGATAAAAGTGATGAGCCATACAAACTGATTTGCTCTTCTTTCCCATTGACCTCAAGTTCATCTAGAGAAGAATCACCGTACCGTACTCTACAACTCTGATCCGCGCGAGTGTGATCGATCGGAAGAGGTGACACTCGGCGTTTGCAATGTGTCTACAAACATCTTACAAAGTTCTTGTGGTGGAACCAGTAGGAGCAATAGTTCTCATCAGAACCTGGGAACAAACTCACACTCCTTTCTTTCACGAAATAGAAGACTAACGTGGGAAATATTCGACCGGACGAATCATCGGTTTCGAAGACGACGACGACGACGAGGGAACGATGTCTCGCCTCGCCCGTTAACCGCTAATCACGTCCTCCGACCGAAACGGACGGATAGTGAAGGAAGGCAGTTTCTCCTTTGTCCTGGTGGCCTTGTAGAAGGGTGGGGATCTCTCTGGAGGGTTTTAAGTGTAGAGGTGTCTTTCTATCTCTGAACCTCTTCTTCACCCGCTCATTCAACACAATCAACATCAGTAAGGACACAACACTACCTAAGTCTGTCAGAAAATCGTTCCTTACGTTTACCGTGGGGTTTCATTGGATTGGTGACTATGTCGTCCGCAGCAGCAAGGGGTTCAGTGATGGCTGAGCCAACCATCCACTTGAACAAGAGCACCCAGTATAACAGAGAACCAATATTCTGGGTTAGAGGTACAACCCCACCGAGTGTGTTCTGTGTTACTGGCCGCCTGGAGGCACAGTATCAAGGCCCGCTACAGTTTTGGAAGTCCATGTCCATCAAGCTACATAAACGTGTGAAAGGAGGAGGGGGGGACAAAGATTCCCTCACTGTTGGGAAGTATCAGCTTTCGCTAAAGCCCTCTATACTCTACACTGAGTTCCACTCACCTTCAGAAATTCTTACCAGGATCGAAGCCAGGTATCAGCCCAGTGACATGGAGCTTCGGAGCAAGGCTGCTGGATTGCAAGGTATCAACTCCCTGTCAGTCTTGAGCAAGGAGGAAGTAAAACAGTTCAACAGTGGAATGGATGACTTTGTTGAAAGCTTGAATATGTGTTTCAAGGTACCGATAGATTGGGACATGCGGCAGCTGAACAGCACCTTGGTTCTTACAGACCATACCAGCTATGAGCCCCGGCAAGTGATTGTGTTTGAGTTCACCCTTGAATCTGTTCAGAAGATGTTTGCTGATATTAGATGATAATACAGAGGGGAAAAAGAGCATGCATCAATTCTACATGTCTCTATACTTATCACATTCCACTCACACGCATAAAACCAGAGACGGTCGAATAAAGTTCAGAGGATAAGTGAACGGAGTAATATTCGACGGAAGGGGTAATTCTAATGGCGGTTCGTCGGCCGTCCCGGCCCGATTCTATCGGCTAACACTCCCCCACGGGACAATGCACGACTCTGCAGTAGTCCCGGACGATTTATCGATGGCGACGGCGAGGTTTGTGATGATGTAGAAGGTAGTAATGATGAAATATTGAGTGTTATGTGTGTGGTAGTAGTGGTAGGTGAAATCGTGAAATGAATTTCTGTGGGGCCCCCCGCGGGGCTCCGCTCTGACACGTGGCTACCACTCACCGCTACCAATGACCGACTCTTCTGTATCTTTTCTTTTACTTCATCACTTTTACCTCCAATTAACGGTATGTCCACCTTTCGCCTTTCTCCACTTTTATCACTCATTTCTGACTCTCTGAACTTCCCTCTATCCTGTCTGCTTCTTAAAACTTCAGGTTTGCTAGTAGAAACCCGAGAATCGATGAATTTCCTTCGTGGTCCTGGCTGACAATATCTCATAGATTCGCCACTCACCGAAAATCTTTTATTTTTATAAGAATCATCATTATGCCTCGTCGTGGGTTTCTTCTGGTTGGTCTCTGGAGGGAATCGGAGAGAAAAGGTATGCTGTTTATTGATTCTGTCATTATCTAGACTGATTTCTCGAATTCTCTCCAATGACGATTTTTTATCTTCAGATGTTGCTGGCCACCTTGGCCTACGCTGGGTTTCTCTTGGCGGCGGCCTCTCGTGGGGGTCAAGGGGCTTCGTTCCCTTTGTTCGATCTCCTCCACGATATGGAGGCTTGGGAAGGGGCGGTGAGGGACGTCTTGGACTACGAAATGAGGGGTCGTGATGAGGAGATGGGAAATATTTAGTTTTTGTCACGGCCGTCGAACAACTACTTCTTAATAGACCGACGGTCGACGAACCTCGGCTAACTTCACGCTCTGAGTCGATGTCTCACCCAACCAGGAGGGCGCAGACGTCGAAAGGGGTGTAACTACGGCGTACTTCGGCGTAGTTACTCTAACTAGGGTTTTGATCTACTGATGGCGATGTATCTTGATTTATAGCTATCTCTATCTGTCTTTTACTACTGACAACAATCAAGGATCGCTGAAGAACTTCAGCGATCTTCTCAGCTAATATTATCTACTCCTCCTAGACGTTCATCCAACCCTCTCGCGCTTTGACGTACTTCAACGCACTTCATCCAACTTCCCCGAGCCCTCGGCCATCCTCTTCCTCCTTCGACTAACTCCGCCTAACATCGCCGCACTTCTGCTCCCATTGTCCCTACTTAGCCTAACTCCGTCTAACTTCGCCGTACTTCTGCTCCCATTGTCCCTACCTAGCCTAACTCCGTCTAACTTCGCCGTACTTCTGCTCCCATTGTCCCTACCTAGCCTAACTCCGTCTAACTTCGCCGTACTTGGTCTCAGAAGTCCTGAGTTACGTGTAGAGTAAAGAGGTTAAGACGTGATGGGGGTTTTGATGGTCAAAGGAGGGTCATTGTTGGTGGAATAATCGAGGTGTCACGACGTAGTTCGTGACAGTCGCCCCCTTCTTTAGCCGCGAACGTCCTCGTGAGCGATTACACCTCTGTCGTGTCAAGAGAACTTAGCAGCGTAGTACCCCCATTCTCTCCCTCCCCATGACCATCTTTCACCCTTCTGCTCTTTGCGCCGCACTTCGTAGTTGGGCCTCCTTTCACTCCAAAACCCGACAATGAGACTCCCCTAACTTCGTCGAGGTTTGCCGTAAGAAGCCCTGTGTCTTTTGTAGGTGAGACACGCTTCCTGAATGGCAGCCGAACAACACCGTTGTTTGTCGAAGTAACCCTCGCTTATATTGAGATGAGACACTATAGCGTGGGAATTTTGATCGTCCCTGCGATGCCTTTTGTTGATGAAACGCGAAGTTTGCCGCATGTTGACGACGAGGGTTTAGGTTTGATTATACTAAATACTGAGCAGTTCGCCGAGCTTCTCTCTTTTTCCCATCTGCTTTCAAAACTTTCTATCTCTCTTACCTAGAAAACAGATTTGTTACCTTGAATCATCTTTTATTTCTTTAAGTATTTTTAACGTCATGGCCCCTCCTACTCCCACCTCTAACCCTTTCGCCGCCATGAGGAACTTTGGTGGTATGGTGTCGTCTGCTCGTGAGTTATTCCTCGACACTTACCTTACTTCGCCGGACTTGGCTGATGTTCAGTTTCCTTCGGCGACAGATCTCGCCAAGTCTCCTCCCTCGGCCTCGGCACCCTCTCTTTGGGGGAGCCGTCTGGCGATGTCCCGCCTCCTCGCTCCGCTTCTCCTCCCGTCGGTCCTCCCGCTGGTTCTCCCTCTGCTTCTCCTCCTCCTGGTTCTCGCTCTGCTTCCCCTCCTGCCGCCAGCCCTCGCCGCAGGACGCCCGCCTTTCGTCCTGGTGAGTCTCCGTCCTCCTCCGACCAGGAGTCGCTCAGTGGTTCGGAGTCGGACGATCAGTCAGACTTCGAAGGAAAAGGGGGTGATTATAGTGATGAGGATGATAGAATCGTGTCGGAGGGTGAAACCGAGTTAGAGGAACACTCGGATGATGATATGGTGGCGGTTAGTGTAGAGGACAACAACGTAGATAGTCCTGAGCGTGAGTTCTTCGTCCAACCTCTCACACCTTCGCCGAACTTGGCCTTGTTTATCTGTTCTTTAGCTCTCCAAGACATTGCTAACTCGCAGCCGCTCCTGCCCCTCCCCCTGCTCAAATTGTGGGCCAGAAACGACGCCGTTCCCTCTCCTCTTCTTCTTCTTCTTCTTCTTCTTCTTCCTCTTCTTCTTCCTCTTCCGGGGTTCTCCCCCCCCCCAACGCCATCGCCGCTGCCGCCGCTGCTGCCGCCGCTGCTGCCGCCGCCATCGCTCCTGCTGCCGCCGCCGGTCCTGCTCCCGCCGCCCCTGTCGCTGCTCCCCCCCCTTCTCCCAGAGGGGAGCCTTCGCCCAAACGGGTGAAGAGATCACTGCGGGAAGAAGAGTACTTGTGGGAGAAGATGAAGTCCGAGCCTGGTCGTTGGATCGCGGTTGGTGTTGACGAAGCGTGTGATCGTTGCCGGTGAGTCCACCTATTCGTACTACGCCTAAGTTACTCCTGCTAATTAGTAGACGTGAGATTATCACGTATAATCGTCCAAACTGGCCCTGCCTCAAGGCAGTCAGGCCACACAACAAGGCCCTCCGTTGTGCTTCATGCACGTCTGGCCCCTGCTCCTTCTGTCCCGTTTCCTCTGCCCGGGACATCCCGCCCCGTCCCTTCGACGCTTCTCCTCTCCCCCCTCCCCAGACTCCAGCGTCTGTCCCCCGTTCGCGGGTACCGTCTTCGTCTCTCCGGTCGGTTCGCCGTACTTCGCCGGACCTCCGCCCGTCGCCTCCGTCGCCGTCGCCCTTCGCTCCTGTGGCCGGCCCATCACGTCTCCCGGCTGTTCCTCCTTCGTCTTCTCGCCGTCCTTCGGCCTCTGCTCCTTCGGCCTCCCGTCCTTCGGCCTCTCGTCCTTCGGCGCCACGTCCGTCCTCTCCAGTGGTAGCTTCTCCTCCGGCTCACAGCACCCGAAGTCGGCGTCCTTCTGTTCCTCCGGCCTCTTCGGCGGCCCCTCCCGTCACCCCTCCCTCTGCTTCCCAGAAGACACCGAAGTCTTCTTTAAAGAAATCAAAAGGGAAATCTAAAGAGAAGGAGGTTGCCTTCAATGATGGTGATGTGGAAAATGAAGATACTCAGCGTGCTGGTCCCTCTGCTCCCCGGTTGTCCCTCGTCCACCCTCGTATCTCCCTGGACGTCCGTATTCCTGAGGACGAAAAGGAATTCGCCACTTATCGTTCTCTCGTCCTCGGTCTCACTACTCAGCTTGAGGCCGCCCGAAATGATACATCTCTCCTGCTTGACTTCTCTTCTCGTCAAGCTAACGCTTTAAACAATCTTACTGCGGCGTTAGTAGATGTAGTCAACACTGGGGCTCTGGACGACGAAGCAAGGACAAGGTTAGCGGCCGTCTCTCGCCGAAGCCTTACTGAGATAGCCGATGTTCGCCGAAGACTGTTCGACACCCCCTTCCTAGTCACTCCTATGGCGTATGAGCCACCACCGTCCCTTGACTGGTTAGGTCGCCGTAGTAATTCTCGTGTCCCAGCTTCCGCCCAGACTGCCCTCGACCTCCTCAGTCTTCCCTTCGAGTGTCTACGGACCATACGTTCTCTGTGGAGGACCCCGAGCATGCAAGCTGCTCGAGATGTCCAGGACTTCGGTGACTTCTTTGGGGCTATGAATCGGGCATGGAATGCTTCTCTCTCTACTGCGTTCCCGTCTGAGACTCTCGACCTACCTTCGGTCATCGGTAGCCTCCACACCAATCCCGCGGGACCGAGTAGATCGAAGGAGAAAGGAAAAGGAAAAGGTAAGGGTAAGAGTAAGGACAAGTGAGCGGTACGTAGCTGTAATCCTATGTTGTATGCAGTACGTTCTATCTCCTAGCCCTTCGCAGTCGCCCTTCCTTCGGCTTAGTAGGGTGAAGTTCGTGGAACTTCGCCAATATGTCATCAGCTCCATCGACGTTCTCCACTGGTTCCCATGATACTGAATCGTCTGTTCCTTCGTAACCTAACCACTCTACCAAGTACTCTAACTTTCCTGACCTCTTATTTACTCTAGAGTCCACAATATCCTTTACCTCCCAAGACTCTCCCTCATTGTCTACTTCTACTGGCCCAGGTGGCTCAGCTTGCTGACCAGGAAATATTGGAGGGTGATAAGGACGGAGCAAGGAGACATGGAATACATCATGGATACCTGCCATCGTTCCTGGTAATTCCAATTTACAAGCATGAGAACCTACCTGCCGTACTACCTTGTACGGCCCACTTTGCTTAACATCTAACTTCTTCATTGGTCTCTTCGTCTTAATATTCTCTAACGACAGCATCACTAGGTCTCCTTCCGCGAAGTTCGGCGTAGTCCGGTGTTTCCTATTGTATCCTTCGGCGTACTTCTCATTAGCTTTCTCAATTCCTTCGATACAATCTTTGTGTATTTCAGTCAAATCTTTTACCACCACCGTAGCAGCGGGCACTTCGACCTCGCTAGCCTTTATCTCTTCAGCCCAACGAGGGTGATATCCATAGTTCGCATAGAATGGGGTTTTGTTTATCGCAGAGTGCTGGGTGTTGTTGTAAGCAAAGCTAGCTCGAGCGAGTAGCTTTGACCAGTCGTTCTGCTGATAGGAGGTGAAGATTCGAAGATACAGTTCCAAAGACTGGTTGGTTCGTTCGGTCTGTCCGTCAGTCTGTGGATGATATGCAGTAGAGAGATGTAGTCTTATTCCGAGACTATCGGTCAAATTCTTCCAGAACTTGGAGGTAAACTTCGATCCCCTGTCCGATACTATATTCTCTGGCAACCCATGCTGGGCCACCACATAGTCCAATATCAACTCTGATAGGCCGGCTGCGGTTAACTTCGTCGTAGTCGGGATAAAAATGGCCCATTTGGTCAACCGATCCACCACTACCAGGATGGAATTATATCCATGGGAATTTGGCAGCTCCTCGATAAAATCCATCGAGATGCTAGACCAAGGTTTCGTAGCTACCTCCAGTGGTTTAAGCTCCCCATGAGGTTTCTGTCTGTTAGTCTTCGCTCTCTGACATACCGCGCATCCAGCAACATAATCTTCGACATCCTTTCTTACTCCAACCCAGACATAATCCCTCAGGACTAGTTCAAGAGTCTTCGCCGAACCTGGATGACCGGCCAAGGCTGAGTCATGTCGCATCTTCATGATCTTCAGCCGAGCATCGGCGTAGTTCGGCACATAAATGCGATCGTCGAATGTGAGGAAACCTCTTGAGTTCCACCCCCCACGAAGGATTAGAGGAGACCGCGAACTACGGCGTAGTTCGGTGATTGATCCTGGTTCCTGCACGTTATCGTTACACGTAGGATGAGAACACTCAGCGCAAACGACTCCTAATAATTCTTCTCTGACCCCTTCTATGTCTTCGTCCTCCTGAACTCCAAGTACTAGATCCATAGGGTCCACAAGATCATTTTCCTTTACCTCCCTTGTCCCTTGCAATGCTCGAAGGAGGTGACGCAACTCCGACGTGGTGGCGTCAACTTCGTCGAACTTCGGCAGACCTTGGATAAGGTTGCTCTCTTGTACCATGGTACTTCCTTTCCCGGAATGATAGTCCGCCCGTCTAGATAATCCATCTGGAAGACTTGCCTGGGTTCCTGGCCGATAAACCATTTTAAACCTGAAGTTAGCTAGCTCCTCTACCCACCTACCTTGCCGAGGACTGAGTTGTTTCGGTTCCATCCAGTAGGTAAGGTTTAGATGGTCGGTAAGTACTGTGGTTTCCACCTGCAATAATAAGTGTCTCCTTCTTCTGAAACCCTCCACTACAGCGAGGAACTCCTTTTCTCCTACCGTATAATTCAGTTGAGCTGTGTTGAAAGCACCAGACTCAATAGCTACCGGGTGTTCTTGACCAGCCGTGTTGATCTGCGAAATTATGAACCCCCAGCCGAAGAACGACGCATCTGTCTGTAATATCGTCTTCAATGTAGGGTCAAAATGGGCTAACACCGGCGCAGTACACATCCTAGCCTTCAACTCTTTGAAGGCTGACTCCTGTTCGACTCCCCATACAAATGGTACCTCCTTCCTTGTCAAGTCATTGATAGGTCTAGCAATCTTCGAGAAGTTGGGGACAAAGCGCCTGTAGTAGCTTACAACTCCAATGAATCCCCTTGACTCTCGTAGATTCTTAGGACGTGGGAAGGAAGTGATGGCATCAATGTATTCTGGGTTCACCGATACACCTTTAGAGGATACCACGAAACCCAGAAACACCACCGAATCTCTTTCGAACTCGCACTTACTAGCTTTCACGTACAGGCTCGCCTTCCGCAGTACCTCAAAGACCTTCGCCGTAGTTCCTCGTAATTCCTCCAACGTATTCCCATAAATGAGGATATCGTCAATGTAGACCACGACTCCATTCCCTAGTAGCTCTCTAAACACCTCATTTAGGAAGTGTTGGAAGACCGCGGGGGCGTTTCGCAGCCCATCACGAACAACCAGAGATTCAAACATACCATACTGTGTCCTGAACGCCGTCAGGTGTTCATGTCCCTCTGTCACCCTCAACAATTGGTATGCTCCAATTAGATCTAGTTTGCTGAAATACCTTGCTTTTCCAAGTTCTTCGGTAATTTGACCTATTAGAGGGAGAGGGTAGGCATCTGGTATGGTCGCTTCGTTCAGTTTTCGATAGTCGATGACCATTCGCCACTGTCCTTCGGCTTTCTTCGGTATCATAAACATTGGTGAGCCGTATGGCGAGTTACTTGCCCGAATTCGGCCAGCGGCGATTTCACGATCTAGTATGTCTCTCAGCGCGCGTCTCTGATCTTCTCCTTGAGCATAGAGGGAGGCGACCTTAAGGTTCGCCCCCTCCTTAAGCTCAAACTTCAAATCGTAGGACCTTGAAGGGGGAAGGGTCTCTCCTCCCTTCTTCGGATTAAAAACGTCAATGTACTGGTGGTATTGTTCAGGAACTACCTGGAACAACTCGTCTTGTTCCTCCGGGCTCAGCTCTTCAAGCTCATCTTCGCCGCGGCGGTCTATCGCGTCCGTCAGAGTCGGCAGCCCTATGGCCGCTAACTTCGCCGCACTTGGTGGGGTTGGGATGGGAAATTTCACCGAGTTGTCTCTTCCATCAAGGACAACCCCTTCCTTCCTCATCCAATCCCACCCTATCACAACATCTGCGTCGCAGAGCGTTGTTACATCGAGACAAACAGATCGCACTTCGGCGTCCTTCGTCAAACTAAATCCGACTTCGACAAACTCGGTGATGGGTCCAGCGACACTCACCGAGCCGTCGAACATGTGAACGGGTACGCTCACCTGATATTGTCTCCTTTCTGCGCCTATCTTCGTCGCCGCTCTAGGACTTATATATGAACAAGTAGCCCCGGTGTCCCAGAGCGTAGTTAGCTTCATTCCATTAATGAAAATGTCCGATTTAGGTTGATCTCTGGAAACGGAAGGGATGAGGAGATGATTATCGACATTGCATGAACAAGGGGTACTGAGTGGTGTATTTTTGTATTCACAATCCTCTGGCTCCATCAGCTGTGTTTCTTTTATGGGTTTGGGAATGGTGGCCGAGAGAATATGGCGGACCCGCCGAGCCTCGCCTACTGCGACAGGTCCTCTTCTTTTCCCTGGTCCTCTTCCAAATCTACTTCTCCTCCAACCGCATTCAAGTTCCTCCTCTGTCCGAGAGGTACTGCGTTCCCTCCCGATCCTCCACCACGTTCTCCGAACTTCTCCCCCCATGGAGGCAACAGTCCAACCTTAACCTTAGCCTCCCTTACAGGGCATTCCTTCAGCCAATGTCCTGCTTCACCACACTCGGTACACTTCCCCTCCTTCCTCCTTGTCTCCCTCAGATCGGAGCTCGGCCTAGGCCATCTTCGGCGAACTTCGTCGATGTTTGGCGGTGTACTCTTTACCACCGTCGACCTCATAGCCGCCTGGGCACCACCCTGCGCCGAAGGTTGCCCCTTTTCCCATTTCTTCTCTTCTTTCTTCTCCGTCCTCTGACTTTCCACCACTGTCGTTGTCCTTATCCCTCCTTCCCTTTTCCTCTCTGCCTCCTTCTCCACTTGTCTCCTCCACAGGCGGTTGTCCAAGGGAATCACAAACTCCAATAGCTCTTTTACAGTCCCAAACGATCTACCGTGTCTTGCGATTTCATCTAGAAGGTGCGATTTTAGTCCTTTCTTGGCTCGGTCAACTAGGTTTCCATCATCAGACCACTTGAGAATCGCAACATGTCGCTGAAAGGCGGAGAAGTAGTCCGAAGCAGACCCGGTTTGCTTGAGGTCGTTAAGTTGTCGGGCCGCAGTTCCTTCTTCGTCTGGATCACCAAAGTTAGTCTTGAGGTACTTAACGAACTGATCGTGTGTCGTGAGGTACTCAGGAAGAGGTCTTTTGGATAGATCGGGCTGCACTGCAAGAAGAGGTGTTTCGCGTAGATGAGAGATCATGAAAAAGACTTTCTTAGTGTCGTCGGGGAAAAGATGAGAGTTCAATTCGAAGTGTACGTCGCACTCAGACAGAAAGGCGGTTAACTTGTTCCGATCTCCTCTCCATAGGTCTGGGTTAGGTAGCTTTATCCCTTTCCGTTGTTCGCCCACTACGCTTGGGGTCGCCGAAGTTTGCCGTCCCATGGCGTACCTCACCCCTTCTGATATCCCTTCTGCAATCCCGCCCACTGTATCCCTTTCTCTTCTCTGTTCCCATTCCTCCCTACGTCTTCTCTCCTCCATCATGTCTTTGTTCATATTCGCCACCATCTGCATCAAGGCCAACACCACCCCTTGTGTTCCTTCTTCTCCCAAGTTCGCCG